GAACGCCAGGTTAGGTCACCGCTGCCACGTTAAGTCCGCATCGCGATCGGTCAGTCTTTTGACCTCCGCCTTCGTCCGTTGAAGCATCGCGATATTAATTTGGGTGTCAAAGGGCGCGCAGCTGTACAACCCTGCACCGTCGATCTTCTGCGCAACAACCTGTTATTCACGACATGCAGGGTGACTGCAAAGAATGCGGGTATTCGAAAAGCGCAAACGCACACAAGGATAGTTTCCACTCTGTTTCCTTGCATCAACTACTGCTTCTAGCAAGTCAGCGAGTACGCCTACGCCGTCGGACACTAGAACCTCGCCGATCTCTGAATAATCATCATCCCACCACCTACCCCGCGGTGCCCCAGACGGGATCATACAGCCCCGAACCATTGGATCATCCGGTGCTCGTCACTCGCTTGAGCCATAAACAGACTCGCCCTTCCATGAATTGATATTCCATCCTCCATTAGTAGTCCTTCAATCAAGCCAATCTTTCAGCTACCGGTCAGGCTGCCTGCCGATGCAACCCTACCTACGCGTCTGCGGCGTAACCATATCGATATGAGCCAACTGAAATAACTTTGAGAGCGCAGCCAACTAGACTGCTCGTACGCAGCGAGTATACTTCGCAAGCGTGAGGAGCAGCAGGGCGAGAGATGTGACGCAAGTAGGTCTCAAGCAATCCTACGTGCGACAGCAACTTGCCTGATGCGGAAGCATGTTGCGAAGCCTGCGCCTCGTGGGATTCAGCCTCTAGTGGGGCTGCGCGACTCTGCCAGTGACGCATTCCACATACCATGGATAATTCGAATTTGAAACGATACAAGAGTCTCCACATGCACTACAACTACACATCTGGGAGTAGTTCAAGAAGCATGCGGATCACTCGGTACGCAAACCGCGCCACGACGCCTCGCGACAGCTTCGACGGAGCGCAATTCGTTGCTCGGCATACCGGATGCGATCTAGCAATCCCACGATAACAAGCGGGCACTCGGTGACCGGTTTTTCGTCACGTGCAGAGCGCGAGATGCCACGGCACGGAGTCAACTCCGGCGCGGCTGTGTGGAAAGCTCCATGAGAGGCTGGTGTGAAACGGACAGTGGCACAAGCATCCTTCACGGGTTCAACCGTGTCTCGTCTGTTGCTCTCGTCTGCCATGCTATTCCGGGACCCATACCAGCAGGCAGCCATTCGGCAAGGCCACCAGCTACGCCTGAGCCTTTTTGCATACGATAATTACAAGCGCAGAGTTTGTGTCGCCCCGTCACGCTCTGCGACACGTATCGTTGTTCGCAGAACATACCTTCAGGTTGGCCGTTGAAACGTCCGCGCCACTTAGTCGCGTACAGGGCAGGCGTCGCACTGTCTCGCATACCATACTCGGGTTCGTGCACCGCCCACGAGGATCGTTACGAAAGGTATGCCTCCCTCGACCTTTGTCAGCAAGCGCATGGCTCGCTTGACGTGACTGTTCCGCAGAAACTGTCTAATACTAGAGCTTTGACACCTGGGCAGGATGTTTTAGCGCCGGTAACTATCGCAAGCCGCTAAGCACTTTGTCCATCCTTTGGGCGGTCCCCAACGGTCGTTCTGTCGGTAATAACGCCCTTCTAACTCCACCGCCGTTGATCTTGGATTCGAGCGATTAAGTTTGATTTGCGAATCGAATATCGTACAACGCTCCGTAGCGTTGACACAGACCCCGATGCCGAAGAATTCCAAGGACCATCGACAAGACAGCCCCAACTAGTACCTGTCGATTCAGCCTTGCGTTCAATTCGCAACTAGTTGCCCAGCGGATTTCACATGTAAACGAACCAACGGATAACGTTCCATTAGCGGCAAAGAGGCGAGTACGAAGCCGCCTAAACGCTTTCAGGATAATGCAGAGAAGAAGGATTGACCGCAACGCTTGCCTAAAGGGGTAAAGTTTCAAAATTCCCGTGCGAGCCCGAAGCAAAGGGTCTCGGCGATTTGTGACACCTCTCGCACTTCGCTGCTGCCCGGAGGACGGGTTGAGACGATCTTTTACATCCGAGCACGAGACGATTCCTCCGTCACACTGTATTTGCAGCGGAAGTATAGGGTTCCAGGAGCATGATCCTTCCTGTGAAGGGGCCATGCATGGAGAGGATTTGCAATCAAATCAAATCACGTCATATCTTGCTCACGTTACTGTCCTGGTGGACAGTTGTATCTGATACCCCGGATTTCCCACGTTGTATATGTCAGCACCCAATTCTCCAGGGTCAACTCCACCGGCGGTTGCTCGCGCAAGGGCTTACTGATCTGACAACCGTTCGCGCGTTGTAGGGCTGAAGGAGAATTTACCCTCCACGCGGGGTGTAAGAAGTAGGCGTCTGACATGTATTCCACACCGTCTTCGTCGCATTCATCCTCATGCTGCTACACCGTCATCTCGAAAGCAGAAAGACGACGCGTCGCATCGCGTCATGAGCGCCCTCTCCTCGCCCGTCCGGTGCGGCGGCGGAAGCTTCGGAAACCCGTGCCCACGATGCCATCCTTGTCCAGACCTTCAGATTGACAAAGAGCGCACGCGGCCAAACCCCCTGCCCCAGCTTCCGCGAACCCCCTATAGCACAACAAACCTGACGACGATATGTCGTGAGTCGGCCCAATGTAAAAACCCGTATCCCGCCTTCGTACTAATCCGTACAGTATTGCGAAGCGGAACAAAGAAATCCGTGTTACCAGTATTCCCGTTTTCTGGTAAATGAGGTGTATCCGTCCAGCGATGCGCCCAGCCCGATGAAAGCGAAAATCCATGTGCCGTTGAGCCCTGCAGCGTCCGGCATTTTCCATTCGACAGGTATTCGTGCGCATCACTTCCACGATCATGTTGGTGAGTCGAGTCAGGGACTTGAAGGTGAGGGAGAGCCGAGCTAGACCAGGACAGAACCAGATCCTAGCCACGGTCACCCATGCATCGCGACATTCGCCCCGAATACACAGTTCTCGCACCGATTAAACCACCACCAAGCACCAACTGCCAACGTAGTCCTGCGCACACCGTTCAGAAAGTCCGGCAGATGATTGTTGGTCCTTTTCCCTTTTTTTCCACACCGGACGCGTAACAGGTTGAGTACCGAGCGCTGGTGGGCGGCTAGGTCGATCACACGCCCAGTGCATGCCACCTGTTTACTAAGTTTCTGGTCTGCCCCATCTAAGATGGGAATAGAACCGTTGGGCTGAATTTAACGATGATTACGATTCAACCTCAGATTTGGTTTCGATGACAGCGGGCGATTGTAGGGCTGAAAATGAGCGGACTCGAGCATGGCGATCGATACAGGTATTGCGCGCCCCCCCTTCGTGTGGGGGCTGGGCTGCGAAAGGGGGTGGGGAGCAAGCGAACCGACCAACTGGAGAGTTTCTGGGGGAGATTTGTGGTGTTTTTGGCTGGATTCGGAGACTTTTCCTTACTGTTGGTAAATTGGCAGGTGCGTGGCGGTTAGGGAAGTTGGGTGCTAGCTTGACTACACCGTCTGTATGCGGTTGTCGCGTGAAGATCTGTGTGTATTATAGTTCTGTTGGAGGTGAGTTGGGGTAAAGTGTCGCATTGTTGTTTTGGGTCAAAGGGGAATGGCGCGCTTTAACGGCGATTGAAGGTTTGATCGAATCCGGGTTGACGTTTTCGCTTGTCGGCTCGCTTCAGTTGTCCCTTCGTTTACCCTGGGACGACTGATCACGATGGCGTCTTGCTGAATCATGCTTCACTTCATCTAACGTTGTTCGTGGATGAAGCGCATGGTCTGCTTGTTCCAAAGCATAGTTTGAAAGGTAATTACAATGCGTTGGTCGAGTGCGACTCGTGGGATTCAATACGCCAGAGCTACCCAACGCCCAACGTCGCCTCACAGTTTGACAGCAAACTATCGAAGGTTACAACCTAGATTTCCGCTCCGGTAAATCTACCGACAGTCTAATGCTTCGATCTCTTCTCTGACAGGAGATCCATCATGTAGGCCAAGGTAATTCCTGGCTGCCCACTTGCTTGTTTCGTGTTGGCTATCAAGTTGGACAACCAAAGGCTATACATCAATGCTTGTGTATGTTAAGGCATCCCGGGAACTACAACAGGTGGCGCATTTAGCTCTCAGAGACACGTAGAACACAATCAGCACCAGGAGGACCCCTCTACGTAGCTCCATTCCCCAACCAAACTCACTTTCCACCTCAACAGCACAACAAGCCATCTTCACGGTCCAAGCACACACTCAATCTCTTCCCAAATCCTCCATAGTATCTCATATAATGAAGCGACAACCTGCCGCACCGAAAACCACAGACCAAATCTCCGGACTCGACCCTCTTCTCGGGACACACAACAATGCACGCAAGTTCAACCCCGTGTCGCGTGATTGGCTCGATCACCTACCCTTTTAACCAACACATTAACCAGCATTCCTTTCCACGTGTATCACCCGCAACGTAGAACATGACGAATGTCATGGGCGGAAAGATCATGGTTTGTGGACCCTTACGCCCCAGCGTCTATGCAGCCACAATGGGGCTAGCTGCGCCTTGGACGTAGCGTACAGCCCTGAAGGTGTTTTTGAGATCAGCGTAATGAGCCCCATGGTGCAGCCATGGAACGAAGGTAGAGTGCGGGCGATGCATGTCGAGAAGGCGACGATGATTGATGCCCAGTGGGGTCTTTTGTCGTTCAAAAGTGGATCGAAGAGATGTAGTGAGTGATCAACACTTACGTGGATGATGGCCAACTGGGATGGCGGCGGTTGTACTTGATAACTTGGATTTCCTTGGTGGCCTGAATTAGTCACCAGTACCCTTCACACAAGGCAGAGGTTGAGTAGGTCTGCAGCCTACACCGAGATGGAAACATGCAAAGTGGATAGGTTAACGTCAATGTAGGCCATAGAAAGCGTTGAACTCATGGTGTAGCACTTAATTTAGGAGTAGAAATGGCTCTTAGAACAAACGATGCGTTTGGTGTGAGGTTAGCTATACTAGAGACACTATGACAATCGTACCCTCTTCTCCACTACAGCCTCCCAATCCTTCTTCGTAAATGGAATATACCGATCACTACCCTCCGGTAGCCAGTACAGCCTATCCTCTCCAGTGATCTTATCCGGATCAACACCCTCCGTCTTCAACCTACCCTTTTGAATCTTTAAAGTACCCGTATACTCTAATGCAGGCGTCACTCTCAGAAACAGCGGCACTGCATAACTCGGTAAGACCGCTTTCGCGTGCTTTGCCAGGGCTGCGAAGTCGAATGTTGACTCTGTGACTCCATCTGCCATAACGATAGATGCAGTCCCCGCTCGGCCGTCGTATCCAGGCACAAGGACGCCGTATGCGTTCGTTTCAGCGATCTGCGGGAACTTTCCGAGCATGTCGGCTACTTCGTTTGTCGATACGTTCTCTGACTTCCAACGGAATGTATCACCTAGACGGTCGACGAAGAAGACGCGGCCGTCGGCATCTTGTCGCATCATGTCTCCAGACTTGAACCATCTACTATCATAAGCTTGCAGTCGACGAGATTGGAAGGATGACTTACATATCACCCTTCTCGAACACATCCCTAATTCTCCTATTCTCTGTGGCACCTTCGTTCTTGTAGTAGCCTGGTGAAGTAGCCACCGTCTCCGGCGTTAATCTATGCAGCACTTGGCCCGGCTCGTTCACTCCACATCTGATTGCAAAGCCGTTTGCATCTCTCATGATCTCTTCCGTATCAACATCCATCTTCACCCTCACTTCCTGGTCGCCGAACCGCCAATTCCAGATCAGGCCTCGGAGACCAATGCTATTCGCCGTGAAGGGACCAGCGTTGCGATTGAATGTCGCCCCTAATCCATCGGTAGCCGCATATAATTCGTTGATGATGGGTATGTTGAAACGCTCACGAAAGGGTTCCCAGACGTCAGGGCGCATGCCGTTGCCCCATGCCATCTTTACTTTGTGTTTCCGCTCGAATGCATTCGTCGGGCCGTTGAGTAGATACCTGCAGAGCTCGCCGACATACTGAATGATATCCGCATCTGAAGCTGCGACTTCAGGCCAGAAGGTCTTGTGCGAAAACCTCCGGCTCAATACGACTGTACCGCCAGCATGAACCATCGGTGTAACGCAAAGGCCATGCGCAGCCCCGTGATAAAGTGGCATACATGTGTACATTCTGGATGCCGGTTTCAGTTCGAGGTATTTGGCGGCGCTGTAGCCAGTCAAGAGCTCGCGACCAGTGCTCAAAGTCACACCTTTGGGCAGCCCGGTCGTTCCGGAAGTATACAGTAGCGAGCGGAGGGACTCTATAGTAACGTGTTCGCGGCGCGAGTCTGGTATAATAGTCGGGTTCGGTAGCGACGCGAAGAACGAGGGATCGTAGTACTGGATCTTGATGCCGGTCTCCTCGAGATCCGTACGGCATGGCTCGACATTGCTCTTGACATCGGCGTCTGCGATGAGGAATCTGCAGTTGCATAGCTATTGCAGAAGTAAGCCAGTGTCTATCCGCCCAGTTCCAGGAATACTTGCCCTTGCGCAATGCACCAATCCTGTCCCAGTGAGGTTCCAGTTGACGAAGCTCGGAACAGCTCCAATTCCATCCAGGGCGAACCAGAGCATTAGATACTCTGGGCTATTCCCGCCATCCACAGCAACCACCTCGTCAGCTTGTATGCCCAGGTCCTCTATCAACCAATTCCCCACCCTGGTGAATGCATCAAAGAACTCCTTGTATGACCAGGTTTTGCCTTCGAAGATGAGGAACGGATGGTTCGGCCGGTTGCGGACCTGGTCTTCGAAAGCGTGGTACGTGAGAGCACGTTTGCGAGTTGCACGGTCGGTGATAAAGTCGAGGACATCTTGTGTCGGCGAGAGAGCACCGCGTTTACGCCTGAGGTCATGGGCAATATGATATTTCGCGTTGAGGTAGGCTCCTAGGGCTGCTGTGCCTGCTGCTCCGGCGATTATAGGTACTTGAAGATAGTCAACATCCGAGAATACCACGAGAGGATAGAGGTAGATGCTTACATGCCATAGTAACGACCACTTTCCACTTATCGTCCGGTTCCAGAGGTGTTCATCAAAGATACAATGACCGATCCGTCTCTTTAACCCCAATCAACCGGGTCTACCAAAGACAATGCGCGAGAACAGGTAATGTGATTCATCGCAAAAGCTTCCTTTCGCAGGGAGTCGGGGAAAGCTAGGTGCACCGAGGTTGTTGTTGTCGCAGAGACGCGACTCAGGGACCGTCGACTTCCCCGCATTCTACCGGGTAGCTTATTTCCGGGCATCCGCTACAGGGAACCCCAGGGCTTTGCTACCATCATATCTGCAGTCTCTTTCTAAGTCGAACAGTCAGACATGTCTTACGATCATTCAATCCAATACTCTGCAGTTTTATGATCTTGAGGATCTCTCTAGACCTGTTGTTGATAACATGCTCTGCGATTACCGCACAGGAATGTTGTCTAGAGTGTATGAACGCGCCCATCGTCCACGAACAAGAAGGTTAGGGAAATGGGCATTTCTGGAGCTTGTGTCGCATCATGCGGTTGCTGCATACATAGTGGTATATCTGATCAAGTAGGTAGTATAGAAGATGATGTATACTTCTACTCAATTGTTGTAGCATGGAACGTATTGTTACCTCTCCTAATGAGGGGGTCTCACGTTGTTTGATCCTCTTAGTCACTATCATACTGCATCTTGCATCGCGCGGCAATATACCGCCGGTTTCTAACTCCCATACAAACAACATCTCATCCTGCCCCCTTCATTCCATCTTGTTCATCTCTCCAAGATATCTACTTCCTCTCCTTCCAAGGTTGAAAGCCATTCACCTACCATAGCGTCTAGCTTCTTTACGTCCTCCCCATCCTCATCAGCCACAATCTCATCATCTTCAATCTCAAATCCATGACACTGAAGCCATAGGGGAAGGTCCTCCGCCCCCTGCGTGCGATATATCGTTATCTTTTGGCCGTCCCAAGACTTGGACCGAAGGGTGATGGAATGTCTCCAGTACCCATATCGTCTCAACACTTTCAAGAGACATACATACACTGTCTCGCAAACGTGTTGTTCTCTAACCCACTCTTGCGTACCAGCCCAGGAACCGCTGTTTGGATCATACAGTGCCGCTTCTGCTTCATCAATAGCTTCAGGTGTGTTCTTCTTATTGCGATCAAAAGTCCAGTGCTGTATCGCTGAGCGGAAATCGTCGTTTGCCCATTCTTTTGCTTTGGGGAATTTTGCTGGGTTCCAATCCTGAGCGAATTGTTCTGCCGTCTCGTATTCACCCTCAAAGCGTTTGTACTCTTGTGTTGGTGAGGAAGGAAGGGTACATACGCATCCAGACCGATGGCGTATGTAGCTCTGCTGATGGTACAGAACTGGCTCAGGTCTGATAATCTGGCCCATTATATCCGGGGTAGTCGCCGCCCTCCTATGGTGTTCATAAAGCTGCTCATGGAATGACTTGGCTGTGCATTGAGCTTGAAGGGTCGTCATCTCATCGGTTGGTCGTTCGTTCTCGGAAGGCATCTTTGGGTATAGCCTTTTTAATGTTTTGTTTGTGGCAAATGCGTAGATTTTTTGCTTTGGGGTTGAAGTATTGTAGGTCGATATGTGACTTCTAATGATTGAGGGCACACTTTATATATCCGCAGCTTTGTTCCTGTGTTACTCAAATAATTCGCCCACTTTCCTGGTCGTTTGGACTATGGATATGTGCGGTAGCGAACCATGGTCGAAAACCTGAGGCTACGCGAGTCCCCCAAATCAGACTCGCTCATACTCGATGAATGTCATGAGTATTGGTTCAACCTTTACTTAACTGGCGGCTCGTATTTTACGCCGACATTCAACATGATCCACACACGCCTCGTATTTGGCATGCAAGTCCGCCGCCTCAACGCAGAACAATCGACCGTGGCTCGGAATAGTCCTCCGCTTCAGGGTACCACTCTTTCGACTGCTACCATGATGTTAGCGATCTCATCATCGTCACTTTTGACCGTATTTGTACTTACATCTTTCTTCACCTCGGATTTTACCCTCTTAATCACCACCAGTCCAACCCTCACATACTCGCCCCGCTCTTTGTCCGTACTAATGATTGCCACACCCAAAGCCGGCGCAACGATCAGAACCTCACAAGCCTCATATGCCTCGACATCGAAAAGAACGCGCGCATCATGGTAGCTTTGATCGCGCATCTGCACCTTACACGACCGATACGGACTCTTCCCTGTCGCTACATCTTTCCCGATAGCAGTAACGTCGGTCACCGATCCACTGATCTTTGCCCACCCATCTTTCAACTCACCAAGCAGATTAAGTCCTTTAGGCACGACCCTGCATTCTTCAAGAAATGCACAGAAGCCTCGCAGCGAAGTATTCATACCTGTAGTAAGATCACCTAACCCGTAATCCACAGGTCCTTCCCCAGACATGAACGACCAAGACGGCGCCATCCAAACGTCAGACCGTTTAAAAGGCGCAACATCATGCCTAGGTACCCACAGGAGCCACTTGGCGAAATTCCGCTTCCACAGTCCCGCAGCGCAGACGTCGCCAGTCATACGCTGCAAGACGGTCGTGACGCCTGAGATGGCGGGGAATTTGTCTTTGGGGTATGTTATCCCGCGGGCGGTGTAGTCGCGGACGAGTTGGAACCATGCGTCTAGGCCGATGGCGGCACCAATGGGGAGGTTGATGCTGTAGACTACGGCGTCGAGGGTGTAGAGGTGCGTCCAGCCTCGCCTTTGCTCTTCGTGCGAGATGCCGTCGGGACAGCGCCAGAACATGTTGGCGCTGCCAAAATGGAGGGAGCGGGATGGTAGGAGTTGTTCTTGGAGGACCCAGGCTCGTGTTTCGAGGGGGTCGCTTGGTAGTGCCTGGATTTTGTTAGCGAGGAGACGACGGCGTCTCCGGGGGTGGGGCTTACGTAGTTGCGGGTCTGTTGAGCGACGAGATATACTTCTAGATCACCTTCGCTATCGTGGATTTCAATACGTTCAGTCATTGGCATCTTCCGTGGTCCTAGGAAGCCTGCTCCGCAATGTGAAGCGTTGGATGCAGCAATGTTGATGTATGATCCTGAGTAGATGTCGGCCATGACAGCCGATTCTTTTTCCCAGTCTGCTGTGTCATTTTGTACTGAGAGCGAGAGTATAAGCATTAGCATATGTACTGTATACAGAGGAGTCGGTTCATACCAATTGCCAAGCAGTCGATCCATACGTACCGTAGACCAAGGAACCGCACCACCATAGCAGCATCTTGAAGCGTCTTAGGAAGATCTTGAAAGCCGATGCTGCTCTTTCGCATTGGAAGCGTCTCTGTGGTAGTCATGAACGGCAACCCATTTCCCCAACAATAGCTCAGCGTTGCGTACTTCCCTTTCTGACCAGCGGTCGTTTCGACTAGCTTACATTTGGATTGAGAAAACAGTTCTGGCCACTGCTTCATGTTTTCGGCTAGAGAGTCGGAACTGGGCATGTCATCGAGATCCAGCACTCTTGTAGGCAACAACGAATCTTGCTGGATCGCAGAACATCTCTCATGCCGGGCGTTGCATTTATCAAACCAAGCCCTAAATTGCTTCACTGGCGTCGGGTCAAGCGAGTCTTCTAATTTTACTGGCTTGAATAAGTTCGGAGATGGGGTATCTTGTCTTGGATTAGCGTTCTCGCAATGGGTCAGCAACAAGATCCTATCCAAACATACCAAATCTATTTCGAAACTCCACAGCAGTGGCTTCATTTATGCCCTTGTCTAGATAGAGATCCAGCTTTGTGCCGTATGTTTCAGATTCGGATAGATGAAGCCATGCTGGAGTGGCCTCCATGTCCACTTCTTGTGCGACTCGTTTGTAAATCGGTCGTGTTTCCACATCCCGTATGAGCATGCTGCATATTATGCAGTCGATAGCGCTTTCTCTCAATAATGGTAGATTGGTTTGGCGTTTGTCGCAGATCCATGTCTCGCTGTCGTGGCCCCAGGATATGCCATTGTCGTCGGTCCAAGATTTCTTCTTCCACCCTGGAGGATGGTCGCCGCGGGCGAGCGCGCGGAAGGGTATGGAGCTACAAGTAATGCAGAGTGACATAATCAGTGTATATAAAATAACTAGGGGGAAATGGTAATGGTGAAATGTGATGTGAGATGTCAGATGTGATGGGTGGGACGTACCTGCCTGTTTACAGTCAGCCTGCAGGTGCTCTAGCCTCACGTGTCTTAGTACATGGGTTTGCTCCCCACAACCAACTCTGCCTTTCTAGAAATACTCTTCATGGAGTACTGTGACTTCATGCTAAGGCATTGATTTCTCTCATATTATATCTATTTTGTCATCATCATCCGAATCAATCACCCTCTCATTCCATCCCCCATCTAATACCCAACCCCACCCCCCTCAGTCGGCAAATCAAACCACTGAGAATTCCCACCCGTACAAGTTTCCCTCAGATACGCCCACGCCTTCGGTCTCTGCCTCCCTTCCAACCCCGGATCCAATTTAAGCGCCATCTTATACGCCGTCGTCTGCCCGCTACTATCAACCGGATCAACGTAATCAGGGATATCGCCAAAGTCCTTCTTCTGCAGCCGCTGTTCCCACGTAATGCCGACAGTGCCGCCATCGACAAAGGCAAAAGGAGTGTTGTCGACGTAGTGCAGTTGGATGCCGAGGCCGTACATGACGGTTGGGAACCATTTGTAGGCGGTGTAGGCGATGAAGTTTGGGACGGAGGAGACAGGGACGACGAGCTTAGAGTGGAAGGGTGAGCTGCTGGTGGTTATGTCGGTGGCTTTGCCTTTGCCCTTTCCTTCGCACTGGTTTTTGGTCTGGTTGTCGAGGCGGGAGGTGAGTTTCATGAGTGTGATGAGGGTGTTTAGTTCGGGGCAGCCGCCGTAGAGGTACTGGGGGTGCTTCTTCAGCGATGAGATATGCTGGCCAACGGGACCGGTCAGCTGCTTCTCGTAGACGTCTGCTTCCTTGATGTACTGGTTCATACGCCGCAGAATGCTGGGCGACATGGACTCCTTGCGGTTATCGATCTGGAATCGGACGTGGCGAACCATGTGGAAACGGCCCAGGTACGCGAGACGGTCGAAATAAGTCGAAGTATCATAGCCGATGGAGAAGGTGTTTGTCGAGTAGAACATAGGAAGGGACTCCTCGCGGACTTGCTTGCTGACACGGGTGATACCGAGGAGATCGCTGGTGGCGAAGTGATGCTCTGCATTGTCGTCGTGGAACTGAACGACCTGGCCGTCGGTGTAGTCGCACAGATGAGGCCTGATAGGTCGGTCTGTATCGAGTGCGAGCGCATAAATGCGCTGGCGTAGCTCCACAGAAAGCTCCATGAACTTGTGGAACTTGGGCTTCAACATCTTGCATCTGCCGGTGGTATGGCGTTCGGAGTGACACTGATGACAGAGTGTGCAGTTCATGTTGCGGATACCCTTTTCTGCCATGCAAGTGAGGCAGTGAGTGGGCGTGCGATATCTAGGCTGACGGGACCGCACCGGAACGTTAGAGGTGATAGGAGGTGGTTTTATCGCGCGTCTTGCCTTGGGCTTTGAAGGTCCTGGGGTGGGATTATTGACTGGTGGAGCTGGCGGAAGGATTGGGTTGAAGGAAGGTACACGGAGAGAAGCCGCAAGATTCTCGTCGTCTTCGTCTCCCAATGCTCGAATATCGCCTTCAGAACGCGGTGCGCGTAGACGACGACGTGTCAAGGCGGTGGATGCCTGGAACTCGCTCGATCCAGTAGCTGATCCCGACGAAAGAAGAGCGTAGTTCTGAGATGCTGCTTCACGATGACTGTACATGTATAGATCGGCTGCACAAGTTAGCTTTCAATCCTCACCAGAAAATTAATGGGGCCCTCTTACCTTGGTTCCTCCAGTCAGGCCCCGCTTGCCGACCATTCGATTGCCCTGACTCACCAGACGTCGGCCCACCAGTACCAAATCCCGAGCCTGCTTGGATCGCTTTCTGAAAGTCCGCATCATATTTATAATCGAAGTATTCCTGGCCACAGCGGTCGCACAGAGTCCGCTCATCTCCATCCTCACGAGGGTCAGGCTTCAGGCAGCAAGACATGGGCGGCAGAACGAGATTTCCATTGACCACCAGGTCAGTAGGAGGAACGAGTGGAACCAGAGATGGTTGCGCGGCTTGGTGAAAAAAGTTCTGCGCGTACACCGCACCACACCCAACGCAGACCCAGTCACCGTCGTCCATGGTCCAGTGCTTAGAATCGGGACAGCATTTCGGGGATTCGCCTATGATGGGATGTGGGCGGCCTGGTTCCTGGTTGACCTCGAAGCCATTCTGTGTTGGGCGGATGGCGATGCCAGACTCCTTCATGGCCAAAGCTAGCTGTAAGGCCTCGGGGCTGCAATCGCTTGGCCAGAAGTCACTCCAAAAGTTATCGTTCGCTTCGTAGTCGTCGTCGTTCATTGTCGGCGGCTGGCAGCTGGGTGATTGTGCAAAGGTTGAGAAGTGAGAGAGCAGGTTATTTAAGTGACATTTGAAAAAGTGAACGCGGTGAGTGGGCGATTATATGGGAGCGAGCAAGAGAAGCCTAAAAGTTTCCACTCCGCAGACGAGGAAGTGAAAGCGCGCATGTGACCACACTGTGAGAAGTCAGGAGTCCACGACTTGGATGAATCGGGGAAACGCACATGCATACGACAAATCAATCTTTCTTCATTGGTATACCTTCCACTCACCGCCTCTACCACTTCTTACCTCCCTCGTCACTGAAATCACGTCCTTGGCGCTCCTGCTCTAGCCGAGCATCAAACTCTTGCTGTGCGCGCTGTCTCTCCCTGGCCCTCTCCTCATCGCCTGCAACAAACGTATACGAATCTCCAAGCGTGGACCCCTCCCTTTGCTCTCTGCGCTCTGGCTCCGCTCTGCGCGATTGTTGCTGCTGTGGCCTTTGAAGTGGCGCTGCTGCTCCTCCTCCTGTGCGCCTTAGACGATCCCATGACGATTCACCAGGTCTTGCTTGGGATTGGGATTGGGGTTGTTGTGGGTTGTTGACTTCGTCTTGGAAGAGGCCGCCAGTGGGGGAGGCGTCGTCATCGAATGGAAGAGACGAGGGCGGTGCTTGCTGGCGTTGTGGAGCTGGTTGTGATGTGTCGTTTGAGAACGTCTCCCATGTGTCTGATCCCGCGGTTCTGGTACCCCACGACTCGTTTCCAGCGGTCGGGCTCATGTCGTCGCCTCCATCAGCGTTCCCTTGAGGCTGCTTACCCCAGCTAGCCTGTGGTGATGGGCCACCTCCTGCCTTGTTCCTGACCTGTTCCTGGAACTGTCGTCGCCTATCCTCAATCTCACGTCCTTGTTGTGCGGTCCTTTGTCCTTCAGCGTGTGATGAAGCCTTCAACTCCTGCCCAAACTGCTCCAGCTTCGGATCATTCGAGGTATTGACCGCAGCGAGCGGTTGCGCGAGGAGTTGACCGATGATATTGCCCATCTGTCCTGCCACCAAAACGTACAAACTGAATCGCCATGTGTGTCGTGCAAACTGCGCCATGTTGCCCTTGATCGGACCAAACTTGTTCCGGTCAATGTCCTCCACCTTGGGCTGATAAAAGGGATATTTCATCTTATCCATAGTCCTCCACCATTGGTACGTTCCTGCAGCTGCACCGGTGGCGGCGAAATAGCTCTTTGTCTGCTCAAGCTGGTATATGTGAAATGCGAGCGCCTGCGCTTCTTCTGAATTCAGTTGGCGGCCGACTTTGCGCTCGGCGAATTTAAGGGTGGTCTCGGTCTTGAAGCGAACGGCACGATCGGAGAAGCCCATAAAGGTGCCTATGATCGGTAATGGCTGGGGTAGGACGCTCGCGTCGAAGCGAGCGCCTGAGGAGGGCGGCGACGCGGAAGCATATGGGTCGTCCGAGGAGGGGTATGGGTTATCTGAGAAGCCCTCCGGGGCTGTGTTTTCAACGTCCTGAAGCACCATAATGATGTATGGGCAATTGAGTCACGATGGTGTGTGGTTGTGAGAATTGGTGCGTGGTGTGATGAAGAGACATCGGAGCTTAGCTCAAGCGTTGATGACGGCATCGAACACAACCTCGGGATCAGGGTCCACCTGGCAGCTGCGAACACCTTGACACGATACCATCGCCCAACTAGCGTCTCGCATCGCGACAATCAACGCTTGTCACTTTCGTTATTCCAATTACTTCACATAAGAAGGATTTGTCACAAGATTCAATACGGTCTATTCCCATGTTCCCCTGACCCAGCGATACTCCCTCGACAGAAAATGTACGTACTTATACAAAAGATAAAGAAAATGACCTCCAAGTTCGACCAAACTACTGCGAACCCCATATGCTCGCAAGGAAGCAGAAACTAGACTGTGTTGAGTGAGGAAAGTACCCAACTTCGCTTCACAAAACGCCGCGACCCAAAGCCGCCTGCAACGGCCAATTATGATAACCAGAAACACCCTCGAAGGGTACGATGAGAAAAGCGACGGGCCAAAGACTTGGTCCACCGTTGCGCGCGATATGTTGTATATACTTTTGCGGACCCAGAGTGTCGTCGACTGATCACATGCCTATAAAATGATGCAGCGACAGCCAGCTGTAGGTTCCTCGTCGTTGTCTCTTCGGCTGCCAGTTTTGCCAGTCTTGGCGTTTTCCTCGTCGTCCACCATTTCCTGTGGCTTGACTGTCATGTGCACCACGTTAGGCGAGTCTGTCTGGAACCGGCAGTCTGTCCGATGTCAGTAGCTGGCCTTGGAGTCTGGAGTGTCTATCGATGCGGGCTGCGCGTCGTGGCTGCATTAACCAATGATCGGCATGTGCCGAGCGATTGGACGAGCCGTGCCAAGAACGTTGACATGATACGATGAGATGGAGGTGCTTACCCTTGAGTGGGGATTTGTCGTCGAGCATGCGACCAAAGTGTATCAGTCGTATTGAGCCTGGCGATGTGGGCCGGGTCTCCCATTCTGTAATGACAAGTTAGCGGGTTGCACGAAGAAGGCTGCAAAGGGATGCTCTTTGGGCATCATGCAGATCAAGACCGAAGACGTCAACATAGCCACCCCACTGTCGAGCCAAGCTTCTCCCAGCTCTTGCGCCACGTAGAGAAGACATGCGCATGCGTACCTTCTCGCCAGTCCCGCCATATCAGCTCCTTGAGCGTGTATACGCTGATGTTGTAGGGGTCCATGTTCTCGACATTGACGTTGCGCTTCTTGAGGTACTTCTCCTCAATCTTGTAGGGGTGTCTCGAGCCGCTGGTGAGGAGCAGCATTATGACCAGCACGGGGCCATTGGTGTTGTCTGGGTTCGCGGCTGGAGTGTCGGTCGACGGCCCAATCGCCTCGGTCTCTGCGCGATTTAACGCAGCAGGCGGTGCGGGTTTCGCAGACGGGGCAGCAGCGACAGGCGCGTCCTCCGAGGCGCTGATCTCGGTCACGTGTGGTGTAGAAGCTGCTATCGCGACTGGAACGGGGGTCTCTGCGACGTGCGTGCTCGTGCTGGCGGGAGCTGGGACGGCGCCCGACGCCTGAAGAGTCCGCATCTCGACGGGGCTGGACGACAGGCCTTCGCTGCTGCTCTGCGGTCGCGACCCTGCGGCGGGCTGTTGTGGAGTGGTTTGCGGTGCCGTGGGGGCTTGGTCCGCTGTAGACGCCATGGTGGTCGGCCGACTGCACTCGCGACGGGCGGCGGCGATGCGAAAGGGGAGCGATTGGACGGGCCAAGCGAGGGGACGACGATGGCACGGCGGGGGGATTCTTCCGGGCAGGCGTCGTCGTTGCAGAGGGCGCGGCAGCGAAAAATAGTTTGGTGTTGAGATGTATCGGGCCTGTGGGCGTGAGAGAGAAGGTCGGGCGACCGTGCGCGATTGGGAAGTCGCCGTCGCCGCCTTGTTATGCCCTTCTCCGCAATCCGCAAACGCGGCAAGAGCGACCCGCCGTCTCCACCCAGAGCCACTACTGAGCCGAGAACACCGCCTCAATACCTGGGCTGATGCCACCCGCCCAATGTTTGCTGGTACCGATAGACGTGTACCAGCAATCTCACAGCCAGCCGACTTGTGCTTCTCCTGTCACTGCCTACACTGCTAGGCCCGCAACGCGCCAGGCTCTGGCTCCCCAAGCGTCTGCCCCTGCATTGCATGCCCATGGCCATTATTGGTCAGCTGAGCTGTTCATGCATCTGCTTTACGCCACATGCACAGCAGTCCGAGTGGACCCGGGCTCGTTCCGAGACACCCTGGGGAATGACAGTAGATTGTCTTGTTCAGCATGTCATAAGCACAGAATATGCGACCTGACGTTTTCACCATCCCTAGTCAGTTGCCAGAATGCTATGTCTGTCGAACATCAGATCATTATGACGAAGGATCAACCAATCACGCAAAACCAGAATGCAACCTTCAGGCATGCACAGCTGCTGGAACAGTTCCCTTCAGCAAGGACACAACGAATAGCTCTCGGACGAGTTAGGTATTGAGGGTGATCAGCCGTGAAAGACCAACTTCTTCGTACGAAGTCAATAACCATCATGCCGTTTGCCGACCTTACACCCAAACTAGTGATCCGAGTCCATATCGATTCGCCAATCATGCCGGTTATATTCGATTCCAGTGCCCAACAAGAGAAAACACATGCAGGTTAGTCAAGCCATGCTGGTGAACGTATCATTATTTCATTCGTGTCTTGGTTCTATGCCAACGCCGGTTGTCCATATCGTAAACGGTCCGTAGTATGGCTTGGGCGGATGAAGTGTCGCTACCAATGCATTCAGTATACCCGCCATGTGTTCTACCCAAGCACCATACACGCTCTACCAGTTCATCTTCATCTTGTGCTCAATCTCGGTGTGGAAGTCTGGCACCTCACGCAGCTCGTTGCCAGTGAAGACATCCTCCCAGCCAATCTCCGTGTCCCGTCCCTGCAGAATGTCCCGGTGAACGTTGCTGCTTCCACCCAGAGTTGCTGGCCTCCACTCGCCCGCCTCGGCGATCTTGAGCTCCATACCCCTACGCACTGGCTCTGCGATGCCGAACTGTCGCCTCAGCATCTCCATCTTCAGGCGGTCTTGGGTGTCTCGCCATTGGGTGAGACGGGCCTCGAGAGGGTGGGCGGACTGGAGAGCGACAGGTGCTGTCGACGATGAGGCGGCGCTGGATGCTGTGGTGGTTTGGCCGAGGCGAGAGCGCAGGGTATCGTGGACACCGGGGGCTGAAGGGGCTGAAGTCTCCAGAGCGGTCTGCGTGGAGTGCGCCTTGTGGGGGACGATGCGGAGAGACTGGATAAGTGTTAGACCAGGGCACTGTGTACACGAGCGCTGGGATGCCAATAGCATACCATCTTGTTTGAATGTGGCGCTGAGACTTGTGGGGTGGTATGGATTTGATTGTTGCAAGAGTTCAGCCTCGAATACACGGTTTAGTTGGCTGAGGTGTTGGTGATGTTCGAAGGCGGGATGTCCAACTGTTGCTATCGATGGAGCTCCAGGCTACGGAGGTGACGCGCCCGACTAGCGCAGTCTTGGCACAGCCATATCGATGCTCCAAATCCCAACCTCACCATTCCACAACCATTCGAACGAAATATCTGATATGAATCATAGCTTTGCATAAACACCTTCAGCTGCGGATAGCTAGATCCCGACTATGCTGCTCAACGGCAGATCCCAAACCACACAAGCGACGACCATGGCCCCTACACTGACCATAGCTGCCATGAGAATGTTGACAGCATTGTTGTCCAGCAGATCGCTCCCGACTTCGATCTTCCGACTCTCATGCTGTGCATCCACGACTGCATTGCCGCTTCCCCCAGCTCTCATCATTGTCTCCGATGCCTTGATCGACGCCGCAGTGTCCGCCCCGCTCGTCTTTGCAATGCCATCCTTGCCTTCCGCACGACTACTGACTTTGCTACGCACTTGACCTGTCTTGGAAAGATGAAGAGGATGGCTGCTTTTTACGAGAACTCTCCTGCCTCCTTCGCCCTCTACGACCTTTCCAGAGTGGACGTCGACAACACTCGCTTGAGCCAGAGCACCCAGAAGCGAGTCGAGTAGTGTTCCGCTAAAGCCAGCAGCTGTCAGAGCAAGTGTAAAGGTGATCTTCTCGGGCAAATTCCAGTCTTTACAGAAAGGCAGGAACAGCGTAGATGTAGCTGAGAGTATGAACGCCCCCAATAGGCCTGCACCAAGTCCAGTCGCAGTCACTCCTCCATTTGTGCCTGGCGGGACGACACGCCATGGAGCTGTTATGAGACGTGGCTTTGATTTCGAAAGGATACCGAGTTCGGAGGAGAAGGTGTCGGCGGCGACTGCGGCGTAGTTGCTAGAGTATGTTAGCAATCACATGCTATGACATGAAGTACACTCGCTTACGCTACAATGCCTATGACCAGGGCATCACCCCCTTTGTGCCAACATAGACCCTGGTCGTTGTATCTCCCTTCTTTCCTTAGCTGCCAGAGGTGCAGCAAGAGTAACACCGAGGCTACGCCGGAGTTCGCGATGACCTGAACATGATTGCGCTCGCCTTCACCACCAGATGCGCCCGTCGCGGACTGTGTCAGTTTCGCTTTGATGTCGTGTTTGACCTGTCTCGTGTTAGTACTCGTCTATCGCATTCTTCATCAAACGTACCTTCGTCACAGTACTACCGGCCAGGAAGAAGACGGCAAGAAGCACGAAGAATACACTCCATGGGTGCAACACATGCACGACTGCTGTCGCGAAGGCCACCAGAATACCGACTGGAGTCAGTGATTTGCGAGAGTATGCTCGGTAGACTAGCGCAGCAACGGCGGGGACCGCTATAGTGGGTTGCATGCTTGGAGGTGTTGGTAGAGCGGCACGGAGGTGTGGCTCGAGATGGACGCTTCCGAACGTGATGGTGGTTGCGTCATGGCCAAGCGTGGATGATGGCGGCCTGGCCCGTGGAATCCGTAGCGAACATCAGTTTTACAACTTCGCGACCTCTTGCATATATTGAAACTCCATCCATTTCAACTCTCATCTCGAATTTTCGTTATAGGACAGAGGTCTTCTTAGAGGGCGCCAACACCTCAGCTAACAGCCCGCTTCCAGCTTCTAGAAACTATGCGTCGCTACCACTAAGGGTATGCTGAAGACACCCACCACTCGTGTCGCCCTTGACTATCTCTGCCGCCCGCTCAGAGACTTGATTGGCCCGTATATGCATCCAGAAATCCTCGATACTGCGGCTACCCCCACGGGGTCCCGGGAATCCAACGTAGGGGTGTAAGGGAGACTCAAGGAACGCAGAAAACGCCAGAGTCTAGGTCAAGGGCGTGTGCCCTTCTTCGCAACAGACCTCTCGCCCTCAAGACCACTAAAGATCATGCGCTTCCCAAGATTATCGGCCAATGCACAGCGGAAAGAACTAGCGGGATACGCAACGGGACAGCTTAAGGGCCCAGACACAGGCCCATCCCACGTGTTGCAAGGGGAACATGCAACACTCAATCTACACCCATCCACGAAAGCGCCACAAACATGTACAATATACTAGAAACCTGTACTTTTCCTCTGGTCATAGCGTCTTTCATCATGAAGCACCACCTGGTGGGCGCGTGAAGCACTTCACGAATTTACGACAATTTCTCCAGTTCTCCAGGCGTAACACACACAGCCTCAATCAGATGACTTGCTCAAGGACACGAGTATTGTAGGCTACAAGCAGCATTCACCGGGAGCATGTGTGGCATGCTGCCAACAAAAGCTTGACAAAGCTTAAGAAGGCTTAACCCTTATCCGATCCCTGTCAGCCCCATCAGCGAGAAACTTATCACTGCCATGTTCTGCGGGAGGCCTCGTCTGACAGGCGATGATATCGCTGTGGTATGTACCAATCGCAACTCTATGATTGCGCCACTATTAGACGAAGAGGATAGCGATAGCAGGGTGTGAGCTGTGATTGGTCCGCGAAGGAGACCCAACTAGGTATAGTCAGATTTCCTTGCCATGGCCGTAATGCGCAGCACAAACCTCGTACGATTCATATGTAGAGACCCATATTGTGACCAAAGTTGGCTTAGGTTGGTTGCTGTGCTGCTAGGAGCCTAAGATTCGGTGCAAAGCCACGCAGGCTCCACGACTCTGCGATTCCCTATCTGGGCGAGCATCGCGCAACCGCAGATGTAAATCAGGATATAAGGCGTCTACTGCTGCGACGATGGAGGTAATCAACCCATCTGTCTTTGTTTCCGCGGTAATCTTCTTTTCGCCCTTTTTTCAATCTCAAGTATGGCGATATACCTCTTCAAGCTCGTCCGACGAAAGCTACGAGAACGCGAAGCGCAAAAGCACATCCCAACTACAGATGACTCCCATCTAGTACCCGAACCAGCTCCAGGGCAAGAACTTCAAGAACTCTCAACCCAACATAACCATGGACCATCGCAAGACTCAACAGGAAGCCATATCAACTTCCTCACCCCAGAAGAAACAGCACGACAGAAAGCAGAAGCGCGCCAAAGAAACATCCGACAGTGGAAATTGATGCTGGGGCTCGTATTGCCGAACTTTTTGGCTGCTATGGATGTTACTATCGTTGCTCCTGCTATTCCACTTATATCAACACATTTCGGTATGTCGATCCGCTCACGCCATTTAGTCCCATTCACATCTATAACTCAGTACTAACACTACCCCTCAGATCAACTCTCCGGTAGTTTCAACTGGATAGTAGCCGCGTACACGCTTACATTCACCACCTTCATACCCGCATCAGGCCAACTAGCCGATATCTACGGCCGCCACTTCGCACTCCAGTTTCAAATGTTCTGGATCACCATCGGAAGTATAGTCTGTGCCACGGCTCAGTCTTGGAGTATGTTGCTTGCGGGACGTGCTTTACAGGGCTTGGGCGCTGCGGGTATAATGAGTCTGAGCCGGATCATAGTGTCTGATGGGGCGACGCTTGCGGAGACTTCGAGGAGTACCTCCATCTTGTCTTTGATTAGTGGGTGCAGGTAAGCTTTCATATTCCCCACAATTAAACGGATTATACTGACGATGCCGGAATAGTTACGCAGTCGGTCCCGTCATCGGCGGCTACCTCGCAGACGCAAGTTGGCGCTACATATTCGTCCTCCCCATCGGCGTCGCAGTCCTCTCCATGCTCATTATCTTCTTCGCCATGAGGCAAGAGCTATTCCAAGGCCGCGTCGCCATCTCCCCAGGTCAATCCCGGCGTCTAGGCTACATCTCCGGGCTCGCAATCATCGACTGGCCCGGCCTCGTCATGTTCATCTTCGGCGTCGGCTGCATAATCCTCGCGATCCAATGGGGCGGCACACAATACTCCTGGGACTCAGCACCCGTCATCGCTCCCCTCGTTGTTGGAGCTGTATTGTGCATCGCGTTTTTCACCTACGAATACCTCCTCGGTCCTGGCCGCGCGGTTGCTAGACTTTTCCCTCGTCAGATCCCCATGATACCCTCGACGCTTTTTCGCAAGAAAGACACAGCCCTCCTGATGACTATCAACTTCTCCGCAGGCATCTCCATGGTCTGCGCTTTCTACTTCATATCGTACTACTGGCAGTTCGCAGAAGGCTACTCGTCTAGTCAGGCCGGAGTGCAACTCCTGTACTACACCCCTGGGCTGGGTGTCGGTGTCTACATCGCAGCTAGACTGTGTAATTGGTGGCTACGACAGACATTTGTTCCTTTGCTCATCGGATCGGTTGTTGAGGCTGTAGGGTTGGCGCTGCTTACATACGCGGTTTCTGTAAGGCATGTTACGATGGTGAAGGTCTTCCTGGCAGTATCGGGTGCAGGGACGGGCTTACGCTTTATGCCCGTTGTACTGCATGCAGCGGGTATCTGGTCGACGCGCGTTCCCAGTATGCAGTCGCTGCTTTCTTTCATGCTACCGTTGGGCGAGACCGTCGGTATCGCTATGATGGGATCGGTTTTCTCGAACAAACTGACGACTTTCTTGGCCGGGATCGACAATTCTGGAAGCGGCATCGAGCTGCCTGCCACCGGGGCACATAGCCTGGACCTCCTGAATAGTCTTCCACCGGCGGTCAAGGAGGAAGTTCAGCATGCGGCTGCGAAGGCGGTGATGTGGTCGCTGATCTCCATCATGCCGTTCATGGCTGCGGCGATTGTTGCGTCGTGCTTTTTGGGTAATGTTTGGATTGGGAAAACGGCAGAGAAGAGTGAAGAGAGTGATGGTCAAGAACATAAACCTGCGCAAGAGGCGGAGGTGGGTAAGGTTCTGTACGGGGTTTATGTAGTTGCGTGGTTCATGGGAAGGCTCGAGAAGCAGAAGCAGGATTTGGATGTCAATATGGAGGGTGATGAAATGAATAGTGGGCATCATAAAGTGGTTGAAGGGGATAGGGTGTAGAGAGGGTCAGAGTTGGGTACCAATATACTTGTATTATCACATATGTTATCTTTTGACCTGGGGCTCTCTTACTCAAAGTCAATCATCCGCTCGTAGTTTCGAAAATCCGCCCCAGATATCGCCCTCTAACAGATCCGCTCATGCGGTTCTCTCCAAGGGACCCCGAGGATCTCAAAGATCTTCTTCTCGCTCCTACCCTCTACCAAAACACCCTCGTTCAGCTTCTCACCCCGCTTTCCCCTATGCACATCCTTATACAACCCCTTCTGGTTCAACCTCATATTCTTCTTGCGAGCCAGCAGTCGAATACTGCGATTAAAGATATCGTTTCCAGTGAAGTATATGAGCGCTGCACCCATCTCCTCCTCGGGGACAAGAAGAAAGTCCATCCGGCGCCAAACCTTCGAGGTAGGGAGACAAGAGGCGCCGTGCCACTTCGAGCCTGTAGGATCGTTGGATCGGGAGGTCGCTAGAGAAGCTTTCAGGAACCCGATCTTGTATAGATGAGGGACGAGGCGGTCGAAGATGATCGTTCGCATAGCCGCAAGCGAATTATCGGGCCTCGTAAGTATCATGTCAATATCGCCAGAATCTTTTGCGCCGCGACGATAGCTGCCCATGATGGTGGCTTTGAACTTGGGGTCGATCTTCTTCAGCTCTCTAATGACAACTGCGCCATGGGCTTCAACCTCAGCACGCGGTATACGGGAGTTGAAATCATCGTAGTGTTCCACACCGACCTTGTTGCTCTCGGTGAGATTCGCTTTGGTTCGAAGATCTTCTAGCGTACGGTAGCCGGCCTTGATCCATTTGTGGGCCTGAACAAGTCCAGCGCCGTAGACACCGAGAAACAAACGGAGTACTACGTCAAGAGGGTCATCTCGCGTACTTTCAAGCCTGCGGAGACGATCGGTGAGTACGATCTCTTCGATCTTCTTGGCGAGCCGTCCGCCAATATAAGGTAGGGCTGCAGCTTGTTTCGCAGTAGTGATCTTGACCGTTTGCTTCTTCAGGGTAGTGATACATTTGCGGTAGCTGAGCACGCGCCATTGGTCCTGCATCTGATCGTAATGCTTGCACATCTGATCCAGGATCTCGATAGTCCGGGCGTTCGGGTTCTGGGACGTATAGCCGTTCGCACCTGGGTCCATACACTGGAACGCGTTCTGGTAGAATGGCTTCTTGTCGCGTAGAGCAGACGCTTTTGAGACAATGTTTGGGTACTTCGGTAGCTTAGGCGCTGCGACCATGGGCTCCTCATCGGTACCTGAATCATCTACATCTTCCACACCACTTGCTACCGGAGATCCTGCATCCTCGTCTTCCTCAAGCGGTAGGTGTGCGATAGCTTTGGTTTCCAGTATCGCTTGAGAAAGAGCGTCGTTGAATTTGTCGACATTCTTAGGCTGCAAAACTTTCGTTGGACTCGAAGACGGCATGACGAAGCTGTCCTCGACAGTCTCATCGAACGAGATATGCGTAGCTATATCTGCTACAGGCGGCGTAGCGGGGACGCTTTCTTCGGTTGGATATGAGTCTGTCTTTTGTGACTCCTTCGCAGCAGTCTGTCGTTTTGACGGTTTGATTGCTAGTGAGCTCTGCGATGCGGCTGAGGTTTGGGATGAAACTACCAGCTCACTGCGTTCCTTCCTGCTGGGAGCACCTTTGATCGCGAAGCGGGGCTGATTTGGATCTCGGAGTCCTTTCCATTCTATACTTTCCGTTATATAAGGCTGGAACTTGACGACCGCAACGTTCTCGGGAATGCCAGGTATGTTCGGATCCCGCAGTAGTTGATCATACGTGCGTACGTCGTAGCCGTCGTCTATTATAACATGCGTAATATTCTCTTTCCATTCCTTGGCCCAAGCAGCACCAAATTCGATTACTTTGTGTATGCGAGAGCGCCGCGGTTGGGTAATATCGTGACTCGGATAGAAATACATGATCTTGCCCTTGAAATACTGTTGGCTCTCTGGTTTCAGTCCGATGTTAGTGGCTGGCTTAGGCCTTGTTCCTCTACATTCTCGCGGAATGTCACCCATTTGTATATAAAACGGAGTGGTATCCTTGCCCGCTGTCTCAGGTGAATATAACACTCTGTTCAGAGTACTCTTCGCGCCAACGACAGCTGATGACCTAGTTCGCGGCTTGGTGACTGGTACCATCTTTGTAAGTCCTTGTTCAGGCGCTGTAGACGAACGCGTCATTTGCTGGGTCGTTTGTCGCTCGATTGCGCGTTGTTTTCTCGAATGCGTCTCGAACTCCGCTTGCCTTTCTTTCGGTGTTGCTCCAAGGAAACTGCTTGTCTGCTTTCTAAGCGCCGGGGGCCGCATCGCTTTCGAATCTTTCAATGCGCGTTCGAGTCTACCCACGCTGGCGTCCGGGATGTCATGCTCATCGTCAAGGATATCCAAAAGTTCTTGCTCTTTGAAGTAGGCTTCCTTCATCGCCAGTGCGTTTTCGGACATCGCGTAAACTTCGAGGGGTCAATGAGCCTTTGCGACTAAAGTTATGTTCTTCCGAACTGGGCCGTTGAGTCGAGTAGCAACGTGGGCGCAGCTTCAATACTTCCAAGGTCGTCAAGGGAAAGGACTGCGAAAGCACAGTTGCCTATTGTAGCGCCATTTATATCGTCCGCCGGGACCGTTCGCCATTTCAAAGCTTAGCAGGCAATGCGCTGGTGAGAGAGTGTAGAACGTCACCGAGGCAGCAGCGCGTACAGAGTTGGCGCTGACGCGAAAGCACGTGGTACTTTGGCCGCTTCTGTGCTAGTTCCACGCTCACATCCGTCATTTCTCGAGTTTGGCGGGCCAAAGACATTCCGCAAACAAAATGCTTCAGCCCCGAATAGCAACGCCATTGCGGCGCACGTTCCTTACTGCCTCTTCAATATGCCTACGGTGCCAGAGCCGAATCGCAATCCCCTCAATCGCAAGGCAATCGCTTGTTCGACCTTTTACCTCCGCGCACACTCTCCGCCAGCAGGCACCGGAACCAAAGCCCATCCAGACCTCGCCCACGCCCGATCCTAAAGATGAAGACATATTCATCCCGAAGCCGCTTGGCCGTCCCATCGGTTTCAGTCGCGCTCCACAACCAGGGGAAAACGCCAGCATTCCCAAAACCAAGAAAGACTACTCCGGTATGACCATGTCGCAACGGAACCTCGAGAAGCGCAAGGATCTGGTCGAGAAATGGGGCACAAACTACTTCCGCGACTTCAAGAATATCCGCAAGTATAGGTCGGGAAAGACTTTCATGGCGAACCAGAGGATCTTCAAGAAGGACGCGGCGTTATACTTTCCCAACTTCCACGGAGATACACTAGAGGGGAAGGACAAAGACACTACGAATGTGCTCAACGGGAAGATCAGTGTTGTGAATGTGTTTAGTTCGATGTGGGGGTTGACCCAGGTCGAGACTTTCACAGGGAAGAAAACAAACACCGCACTGCACGAGATTCTGGCGCAAAATCCCGAGGTTGCGCAGATGGTCGACGTCAACATCGAAGAGAACACGATGAAGGCTTGGATCGTGTCGCTGTTCCAGTGGCGGCTGAAGGCCTCCAAGCCAAAAGAGGACTGGGGCAGGTACTTCGTGGTCAGAAAAGGTGTTAGTGAGAAGATAAGGGAGACAATCGGACTTTTAAACGGCAGAGTCGGCTATGTCTACCTGGTAGACCAAGACTGCAAGATCCGATGGGCAGGCAGCGGAGACGCAGAAGGCACGGAAATGGAGGATATGAACAGAGGCTTTGCGAAGCTGGTCAACGAGGCCCGACAGACTCCTTCAGAAGCCACGCCTAAGGAGGCTTGATGACGAACATGTAACGATATCTTGTACAGCATACGGAAGACTCTCAATTCCCACGATACCCAACCCTTTGTAAACATAAACGTAACCGTACAGGCCCGAGACGCCTTGCGCATAGCATGCTAATGAAAGTCATGAGGATATCCAGCCCGCTTGAACGCCCAAAATGAACATGTGCAACCCCATCTACCTGAACCATAACAGCATCAAGAAGCAGAATGCGATGAAACTGCCCAGGATGATACCGTCTCTGCGCTTCTTTGTCCCAATGCGTCCGATCAAGCTGTTAATGCCAGGTACTTGACTTGCAGCGCCCACTATTCTCCGGTTGATGCTCGTGAGCGTTTCCCTTTGCAGGCTGAAGTTCTCTTGTACGGCGTATGCCTGGCTGAGGACCGAGTCGGCTACGTTGTGCGAGTTGTCGATGCGATTCCGCTCGTCGAGCATGTAGTCGGCCTCCGCTTGCTCTGGGTTTGCGGACCGGTATGCATCAATGTCCGAGCGTACATTGGAGAGGAGGTTCGCCCTGTTGCGGGCCTCGTTTAGGGTAGACTTGAGGCGCGCGAGCTCGCGACGGTGGTCTGAGAGTACTTCGCGGTGTCTGGCAAGGTTGTTCTGCTTTACGGCCGACGAGCCATGCGTCGATTCGGAATCGAGGAGCCGAGATAGCTGGCCGACAAGACCATCTCTTTGCTCGAGGATTTCCTGCAGCCTAGTTTCAACCCGTAACTCTTCTTCTGAGGGTTTCGCGGGGATGTTTGGTGTCGAGCCGAACTGCGAGTATGTGTGGAACAGCGTCTCAGTCTGGCATGCCTCGTTAGCAGGGCTGCCGCGAGCGCCGACTAAGTCCGTCGCAGCAGTGAATGGAACCCACTTGTTGTTCGAGCGTGCGCGCTTGCTGGCGCAGTTGCGCCCATCCGCCTCCAGTGGACGACATGTCGGATATCACGGTATCTTGACAGGCCGAGGCAGCAACAATGGTTCCTGGACTTCTGGCATGATGAGGGTCGCACCTGCCCTGGCGCGGGCTACGCAATGCACGGCCAAGGCGCTAGGCCGTCTTGGTGATCGGCGAATAGTTTAGCGAGGCTCCGGGCGACACACTGATTTCTGACAACACCAAAAGTTCATCGTTGCGACACGCGAGACCCCATCCATATCACCCGGTCCTACTAACTCACAGTCAAAATGGTACGTCGATGCTCTCATTTATGCGTTTGGTATTGGGACTGCGTCGCGCAGCTACGGAACCGCTGGCAGTGAGGGGTCAGGCCGTTGCACCCTCCGCTAGTGGTGCTGCGCAAGATTTGATACTTCACGATTGAGAGAACTTGTGCTGACTTGCTGCCTCCAGTCTACTTCCAAGGTCGTACGTACACCCTCGCCTGCGCAAACACCAACCTCCGATCTCGTGCTCACAACCACCGCAGAAGACCGCCCAGCTGTGGAACAAGTCCAAGGATGAGCTCGCGTCCCAGCTCACCGACCTCAAGTCGTACGTCGTCGAAACCGGAACACTGGCAGGGAAATGGAATGCTGACGGACGTGAAGGGAGTTGATCCAGCTCAGGACCGCCAAGGTCACCGGTGGCTCCAACACCAAGCTCACCCGCATTCATGATGTCCGCAAGGGAATCGCCAAGGTCCTCACCGTCATCAACGCCAATCAGAGGGCTCAGCTCAGGCTGTTCTACAAGGGCAAGAAGTGCGTCTAGGCCGACTCGGAAGCTCCAGGGGCCAATTTCTAACACTGAATAGGTACACTCCTCTCGACCTCCGCCCCAAGCAGACCCGCGCCATCCGCCGAAAACTCACCAAGCACGAGGCTTCGCTCGTCACCGAGAAGCAGAAGAAGAGGAACACACACTTCCCCCAGCGAAAGTACGCCGTCAAGGCATAAGCGTGCTTTCGTGAAGGTGTTTCTCTTTTCTTCCTTTGTCTCTCATGAAGCATTGCATTGCCGGGGCTTTTCCAACTAGCGAGCCACCAGTGTACCCTTAGTACCATACTCCAGCGGGGCGAGGAAGGTGGTGTAGCAGGTGGAATGGACGGACAGGGCGATCTTTAACGGAAATGGGTTGGCGTCCATGTCAAGATCTATGAATAAAAAGTTCAGACAAGCACGGAATGATACCTCATGAATTGTGAAAGAGTTTTACATTGGTTCCACAACTCCATGAGTAACGTCCGGTGCGCATGAAGTATGAATTACGACTTAACAAGCTCTCACATGCGCCTTGCAGTCCTGTGTCTCCACAAATGAATCGCGTTTGATAGCGTGAGGGCTTTAATTTCCCAACACGTGTGGTCCTGTCCAGCCTTTGTATTTGTTAAGACTTTCAACAAAGTATTGACATAACTTTTGCGCTAATACTAAAAAGACAACGCTCTCCCGTCTGCTAAAGATATCTACCACTCCACCACCTCCACAGTCTGTATTACCACACCTTCCAACCCGTTCTCACGTCTTTCAATAAGCCTCCTTCCACTCCGCATACAGACTGAGGTCTTCCTCCTTGACACCCACCATCTCTTCTCTAACACCGATTACACCAACCCTACCAATCGCTTCAGGGTCTTCGTATTGCGCAAGGCAAACCTTGAGCCATTCAATGACAGCCGCCTTATCCTCCACAAGAAGAACTATAGCATCGAAGCCACCAGCACCAGGAACAACGCCTCCAATCACGCCGTCGAGCTTGGAACAGTAGTCCAATAGACGCGTCTGCTGAGGCGGCTCAATAGGCACACCAGACTTCTCGCCCATCTCGCGAATCAGCGCGCGATTACTCCCAATGATTTGTTTCAGCGCGTCGTACTTCGACTTCACATCCCCATCGCTTTGCTCATCAGTAGCCAAACGCGTAAGTTCAGCAGCCAACGCCTCATTCCCCTTCTGCAGATCTTTCCAGATCCTCTCCGCTTCCTCTGCCTTCTCTGCTCTCCACGCCAGAACCTTCTTCACCATACCCGGTGTTTCGCTGCCGCAGTCGACATCGCACATGACCAGGCGCACACCCTTGGGCATCTTGATAGCAGCCTTTTGGATCTCGGTGTCCCATGTCGGGCCCTCGACTAAAGAGCGTAGTTGTGTTGCGAAGCCAGGGCTGCTGGGTTGAGGTAGATCACTCAGCAGAGAGGGCGAGAAACGCTTGTAGAGACAGGATCCGTAAACTGCAGAGGCGATGTCGAAACCGCTTCCGACTTTGCCTTGGGCGTGGGAGTGAGAGGCTTGAGCGAGGTTGTGGAGGACTGTTTGGCCCTTTTCTGTGTGGATATCGAAAAGTTCTTTCGGCAGGTAGAATTCTAGCACTGCGGCTGTGAAACTTGTGACGAGCGCTGCGCTGCTTCCTAGTCCTGTCTTGTGCGCTTCTTTTAGGCTGACGTTGAAGTCCTGGAAGCGCGAGACTTTGTGGGGTTGAGAGATGATGTTGGAGCTGCGGGTGACGCCTGGGTTGGAGTAGTAGGCTTGGTCCGCTAGAATGCGGATGCTGGAGGGCTGGATGAGGGTTTTGGGGAGGAGTGCGTGGATGTAGGTGAGGGCGTATGTTAGGGCGGTTTCTATGAATGGGTTGCGGGATCGGGCGATGGATTGTTCGTGGCCGCTGGGTTGGGGTTAGTTGGACTGGTAGACTGAGTCAAAGCGAAGCTTATGACAAGATCATGCCCATCGATGTAATAGAAAAGCTTGCAGAATAGTACAGGAGAAGGGGTAAATTTGGAAAAGCCAGAGCAAAATCAAAGCAGTAACACAATGCGACACCAACGTTCCAGAAGCGATGACACAGGCTTTAGGAATCCAGATACTATCTTGGCATTGCAGCCTCATCTCGCAACAGATCTTCAATGAACACGTGATGAACGACCACTAAGAATGCTTTGCCCGATTGGGTAGAGATGCTGATGGGCTTGGAGGGAGTGATACACAAGAAAAAGGAAAGAAAGGACGACCAATGAGATGATACGATGCAAGCGACGGACGTGGCTGATGGAGGGAGGGAAAAGGCACTTACACGCTCAACTGCGTCAAGGTGATGCCTCCATCCTGGCCCTGCGACCTGTATCCGTACTCCCAAATGGCCTCGCGGAACTGAGGACTCGTCACCAGGATCTCATTGATCGTCACGCCGGATCTCGTTTTGATAGGTTCGACCACGGTGTGAATCCTTGCGTCTAAACCGAATACCAGACCTGTGTATTCCCGGTCCAGTACGAGGTAGCCACCCGCGACTAGTACCTTTGCCGGGCAAGAAACGGCCTTCGGGGTCAACGGCGCGTCCGATGATGACATGCTGAAAGTGGAGTAGTTGATGCGATAGGAAGCAGTAGGATCGCGATTAGTCGGATTGATAATAGGCAGCAATATTCGCGCAATGTTGGAGGGGGCTGGAGATGGCTGTCTCGCGGGGTGTGCAGCGTAGACTAGAGACCTGACTGCAGGCGCGGTGGGTCACTGAGCTTCTGCCACGAACTCTTGCAGCTGCCGGTATACACCGTTTCTTCGAGGATGCCGAGTGCGGTTAGGAGGAATTGTCGCGATGATAATAACTTTCGTCACGTGCACGTGTACGGCGCCGCAATTCACATGCAGCAGTTCGCCTTCGATGGGCACGGCGTATGGAACCGGAACGGCGGATTTAAGCCATCAGGTGCTAGTCAAATCCTGCAGCAGGCCAGATCCATGCGGGGTGCAGGCCGTGTTCTTCTCGTCGTTCTGTCTGAGTCATCCAGAGTTCGATGGGCGTCCTGGACGGCGCGGTGCCACAATCGATCCGGCTCCGACGTTACCAGGGACGCGAGAGAGCGCGCGTCGACGATTGGGTCGGAGGCGTATACATCCCTCCCCGAGGGGACACGTCGCCGGGCTCGCGTGAGCGAACGCTAGACAAACGTGGGTTCAGCGCGACTTGCGATAATTTTTCGGCCAATTTTAGCGTCCATTGCATCGGTCCTACCTTTTCATGACGACTACGAACTATGCGCTCGAAGCTTCCTTCTGACTCCCGCTAACCAACTTGCCTTCGAGGCTGACAATATCTCTCTCCAGGCCACCGTGCGCCTTGCTTTTCCTCTGTCGCATCCCCTTCTACTTCTAATAGAATTGCGACTCCTTCCGAGCATTCGACTACACACACTTGGGGCGTTAAGGTTCACTAAACACCGGCCAATTTCCCCACAACCACACGATTCCTTACATCCGAAAGCGCGTTTGTTTGACGGCCATCGTCAAATGAACCTGCACCGACGCGTAGGGATCCCGAGAATAGTAGGTACCCTCTCCTTCAATTGCCAACAATTGCTCTCACCATCGCGACGCGCGCACGCGAGCCACAAAGTTGTTGCCTAACCCCCAAAATTGGTCGCGGGCCGATGTCCAGTCGCTCGGAGCATTTCCACCACCGGGATCACATTGGAGACCAATCGTACTGACCATCCACAGTCTCACCCTATCCATCTGGAGGGCTCCTCAAATTCCTAAATGGTGTTTAAGAGTTTCCATCTCGCGCGCCAGAGTCTTGCCAAGGGCTTTACTCACGGTTATGCTCAATCAGTAGTTGCTGGTGTAAGCCAGAACAATCCCCTCGCCTCCCTTCAACACGACCGCTTCCGCAAGGGTCTCAAGAACCAACATGCCTTCACCTCGACATCGTCTACAACGAGCGCGCTCAAGGCGCTCGCCGCCGGACAACACGATCACCAGGATTCCGGTCTAGCCGCATACTACACAGCATGGCAGAAACACCAACAGAAGACGGAGGACAAGGAGTGGTCGCAGTTCCAATTCCGCAAGCTCATCGAGTGGGACCCGGCCAGCTCCAAGGCTGCGGCTGAGGCCAAGGAGAGCAGTGTTGCAATTGAAGAGGTGGCAGAACCGGTTCCCGCGCGTGCCGGTGTCAACCGCGCATACAGCACCAGCCAAGTAGAGGACTTCAAGAAGGCTGTCGGTGGTGAAGAGGCGGAGAAGATTGCGCTGGCACAAGTGGACGAGGCAATTGCACAAGAGGTGGCACGGTACAAGGTCGATAGCGAAGTTGCCCAGGCCATTGAGGAAGAGCTTTCGCCAATAGAAGAGGCCCGTTCAGAGTCGCCCGCCACTGTTGCGGACACTCTTGTGAACTCGTCAATTCTGAGCCGCACCGAGTCCACCATCGCCACTAGCCCAATCGAAGCGCACGACGAATATACCGTACAGCTGCAGAAGCTGGCAATCAACCGCAACTATGCCGAAGTACCCGCTGTCTTCGAGGCTATGCTTCGTTCTGACGTCAAGCCATCAGCCACCGCATACAATGCCCTGCTATCTGCTGCGATCCATCTCCCCCGCGCCCAGCATCAGGTCGTTCCCAAGGCCCTGGATGTCTACTCTGATATGCTTCGCCGGCGTGTTGTGCCTGACACTGCTACGTACACCACCCTGATCGAACTCCTATCCGTCCGCTCCCTCGAAGTTGTGTCTCAGAAGCAAAGCTTCGAAGACAGGCGTCTGCGATATGGAGGTATGGAAGAGGAGGGCAGCTTCATGCTTCAGTCGCACGAGACTGACTATGCTATCCTCGCTGAGGACGGGTCGCTCTCAGTAGCCATCAAGCTTTTCGACGCTGCCGTCCACGTTGAGGCCAACCGAACATTCTCCGAAAAGACCTACCGGCTGCTCGTCACAGCCTGCGCGGAGAGCGACCGTGTAGATGACATGGTACGAATCTACTCCCATATGGAATCCCACAGTGTGACTCCGGCTGCCGAGATGTTCGTTCCAATGATCCAAGCTTTCGGCAAGTCTGGCGATCTAAAGAGTGCGGTCGAGTGCTACGACGAGTACAAAGCTCTGGCCATTTCAAACGACAACGGCGAGCTCGAGATTACTAGGAGAGACAACGACGTGTATGCCGCTCTTGTAAAGGCGTATACGGTATGTGGCCGCATTGAGGGAGCTGAGAAGTTCCTGTCCAAGATCGAGAGTGCGCTCGCCACACCAGAAGACGTCACTTCCGTCCGCGACATTGTCGGTCTCAAGGCCTTCCTTCCCGAATGGCTCAGGAATGGTTCTTTCGACCAAGCCTACGTGCACGCAACGGAGTACCTTAGCCCACAGGCGCGTCAGATCGCTATGGCCGCTATTTGCATCAAGGCTGCGGATCGCGATGCTGTAGAGATTGCTACTCAGGCTTTCGATGATCTTCCAGCTGAGGTCGACCTGTCACGGCCAGCCATGGCGATGGGTGCTATGCATATCCGCACTGGAAACATCGAAGCTGCTGAGGTTTTCTGGAGGATGCTCGAGCTTTCTCCCACCAAGGCCGACTTCATCGAGCCCACTGCCATGCACAGTATTGCATTAATTGGTAGTGGACACGCAGAACGCGGTCTTCGTCAAGGTCGTCAAATGTTTGCTCGCATACGGGACTCTCAGTCTGGCTCTAACCAAGCTAAGATGGAGACCGTAGAGCACATCGACGAGGCTATCGAGGTTATGGGTCAGTTCATGATGAAGCGTGGTATCTTCCTTCCGCCGCGGGCTAGCATGGAACTGATGTGGACGATGATTGAAAACGGCGGCCTAGTCACCCCAGTTGCTCACCACCTACTTGCTGGAATGGGACCTGAGGCCATCGTACAACTCAACTTCGACGACATCACGCTTCTAATGCAAGTTCAATCTGGAATTCTACTCCAGGAGGCCGAAGTTGACGTTGCTCACGTTGCACGGTTCGCCCATCTTCTTGAAGTCATCGCCGCAAATGGCACACCAGTCAACAAGACAACTTCCGGTCTTGTTGAACAAGTGCTCACCAAGCTCGACAGGGGTGATCTCCAGCACCGATGGTACGCCTTCAAGCATCCCGCTCCGGAGGCTTTGTACTCACCAGCACCATTCGCCGCCTACCCTGTCCAAGCCCCTATCACCCCGTCAGCTCCTACGTTCGAGGATCAATACGACCCTTACGCCGCATCTACCGACAACAAGGGCTCTGTTGCCATCACCGAACTTCTGGAAAAGACTCACGGACGATCATCGTCTCACCTCAACGAGGCTTTGATGAAGTTCAGGAACATGCGCCGAGCTGGCCGCCACCCTCGATTCTTCACCTACGCTAAGCTTATCACTGCCGCTGCCAAGGAAGACCGCCTGACCCTTGCCCATGATATCCTCAACCTCGCCAAGCAGGACGTTCCCCTCCTACCTCAGTACCGTATTGTGCGATATGGCTGGGTAACGATCCTGGACGCCATGGTCGCTGCTTGCCTTACCTGCAACCAGCGTGATCTTGCGGGAAGATATCACCAGGATCTGCTTGAGATGGGTGCTGCGCCAACAGCCAACACCTTTGGTCTCTACATCACCACGCTCAAGGAGTCGACCAAGACCTTCGATGAAGCGACTGAGGCAGTCAAGATCTTCCTCCGTGCCAAGTCTGAGGGTGTTGAGCCTTCTTCCTTCTTGTACAACGCTCTGATTGGCAAGCTTGGAAAGGCCCGACGCATCGACGACTGCCTATTCTACTTCTCTGAGATGCGCAACCTCGGCATTCGCCCTACTTCTGTCACCTACGGTACCATTGTCAACGCTCTTTGCCGTGTTAGCGACGAGAAGTTCGCTGAGGAGCTGTTCGAAGAGATGGAGAGCATGCCTAACTACAAGCCCCGCCCCGCGCCCTACCACAGTATGATGCAGTTCTTCCTGACTACCAAGCGTGATCGCAGCAAGGTTCTCAACTACTACGAGCGTATGCGTGCTAAGCGCATCGAGCCTACCACGCACACGTACAAGCTCCTCATCGACACCTACGCTACCCTTGAGCCTGTCGATATGGAGGCCGCGGAGTCGGTTCTCGAGCAAGTTCGCAGCGCCGGTGCTGTCCCTGAAGCCGTCCACTACTCATCGCTGATCCACGCCAAGGGTTGCGTCATGCACGACATGGAGGGTGCTCGTCGTCTCTTTGACACTGTCCTCGCCGACAGCCGTGTTCGTCCCCAGGCCTGCCTCTACCAGGCATTGTTCGAGGCCATGGTCGCCAACCACCAGATCGCGGATACAGAGGATGTTCTCCGTGACATGCGTGCCCGTGGCGTCGAGATGACTCCTTACATCGCCAACTCTCTCATCCACGGCTGGGCCCTTGCTCATGACATCCAGAAGGCCAAGGCTATCTACGAGTCCGTCTCCGAGAGCAGGCGCGAGCCCAGCACCTACGAGGCCATGACCCGCGCTTACATGGCCGTCGAGGACCGCGCTGCCGCTATGACAGTCGTCAACGAGGGCCTGTCTCGTGGCTACCCCGCGGCTGTCGCTGGCAAGATCCTTGAGCTGGTCGGTGGCGGTCGTGCCCCCGTGTCTGAGGTCACCGCTTAAGCTGCCAACCTCAGCATATCTTCTTCTCTTCGACTTCCCGCCTTTCGGCACTTCGATCATACACTTTTTGACTTGATCTACTGCGACGGCCGAACAAAAAGAATTTCTCAAAACAGCCCCCGCACCGCTCGGAGGGTGAAACTTCCAGTGGCGTGGCTGGGCATCAACATTCAACTTTTAAAGTCGCTTCTACGTTTTTCAGCGACGGCGTTTATATCCAGGGTCTCTTTTTCTCTAGCGAAACAACAACGATATCCCGCAACTAGCAATGGAGCTGGTGGACTGGGTGGGTCTGGCGTCTTGTCTGCATAATGACGGGTGGTTAGGCCTAGTTGGGCTGCCTTATCTTCAAGGTTGGTTGGGATGGGGGGATATGGCAACGATCATCTTTCTCGTACTCTGCATCTCGTCATTGGCATGGTGTTTTCTCTGGGGGTCATTGCATCTGCGCGGTCGTTTCGACATGGTTTCGCTGTACAATACCCTGGATTATACCATCTCCTCTCTAGATCACGGTTGGGTTTTCGGTAGGCGGGCGGTAAAGTATTTAGCATCGGATGAGTAGATAGTCATGCGGGATTATATACGATCTCGTGGAATGAATGAAAAATGTAATAAGAGACTCTTCTTCGTCGGGTATAAGTGTGATGTTCGAGGGGAGAATATGATTAGTATTCGTCAGACGAAAGGCATAGGCACAGAGTCAATCCATTTGAAAAGATGTAATTCAGTTTCTAGTTGTCAGGTAGACGTCTTGGATAGAGTGTCTCATAGAGGCGTAAAGCAAGGCCTGACGCGATGATCAAGCCGTGCTTTAGGCCTCTATGAGAGACCCAATTCAAGACATCTACCTGACAACTAGAAACTGAACTTTTTGGATTTGCTGTACCCTTACAACGCTGTAACCACAAACTCGAAGGTCATGTGTAAGGATGTCTAAGACGGCTACATTCCCTCAAACGCCGGGCTCATGTATGCTGAAATGCGCCAAACCACCGCTTTGTATCAAGTATCAATATGAATATCGTGAATCGTAAAGGCCAGTATGTACAATAGTCCCCCCTCTTATCTTGCCCCCTCATGAGCATCAGTTGTAGTTCCTTGTCTCGGTCGCTTGGTCGGCTTCTCGAGCTAGACGGCTCTCGTTGGCAGCTTGTTGGAGGGTCTGGTTGTTCGTCTGCCGCTTCTGGGCGTCGAGCTTCTTCTGGAGGTCGCCGGATGTGGCTTTGTTTGCGCGTGCCTGGGCAGTGTGTCAGCTATCATGGTCGCAAATAAGGTTGTAGGTACGTACCTCTGCTGCTGCAGCGGCGGCAGCCTTCGGATCATCTTCGCGGTTGCTGTCTCCTAGCGTCCGCGCTGGTCCTCCGACCTTGGGCTTCGCCGGCGCAACATTGTTCGGCACAGATGCTTTGGTCGCGGGCGCAGGCGCAGACCCGAGTGTGCGCCCTTGGCCTTCGAAGTTGTCTTTGGACTGTTTGCCGCAGAGATTACCCATCTGTGGTTTTGAATGGGGAGTTGAAGTTATGAAAAGCTGAGGCAAAGGATGTTTGGTTATGAGAGTCGTAGGCGTAGTCGTCACTGTGGCTGTGCGAAGGTAGGGTCCAAGGTGCAAGGGAGAGTTGCGGAGACATCAGCCTCGTGGCGGGGAAATGTGCATTGCGACGCGTGGGATTGGCGCCAAGTACCCGTCTCTCGGTTCCCGGCTGCGGCATCTCTCAGGCAGGGTGTAAACTGCGCATCCAACACTCCCGGCCTGCGTTTGCTCATCTTCTCTCATCTCTTCTTGGATGTTCTCGTCGCGTTTGTGACGGCTACGCATGACGATGATCGCAAACGTCAAGCACGCCGTAGGTGGGTACACTAGAGCGGTAGCGCAATGAGTTCTTCCGCATCCCGTGGATGGAGGACTCTCTGTCCGGTTGCACACGACGGTACCGGTGCGTGAATCGCCTCATATACGTCGGGATAGCACCCGCGGTCGATAGCGACAGTAATCTCGTCTCGAGGTTATCCAGCCTCGTGATTAGAGTCCTGTGATGCCTGGCTTCGGAAAAGGTACGATACACATGACAGTCGCGACTTCCAAGGCTGGAGCCAAGGGCCAATGAGGGCGCACGAGTTGGATATACGCTTTTACACATTCGGGTTAGGCTCCATTCACTCTTCTCAAGCGCATACCTTCATCATCTCAGCCGAACCGTATCCTTTCCCTTGTAGTAGGTATTGTGAAGTTGTCTGGGTAGACCCCAAGAGGCATGATTAGTCGTATGTTTTACACTTTCCATTTACCCCTCGTACCTTGCCCGGCACTCTGATTACGCCATCGTGCTTTCCCAATCTTGAGAACCGTGATGGCCTCCGCCATGACTTTTCGACATTGACAGACACACACTCTAAACTCCCACCAAGGGCTCGCAAACATGGCTAATAACTGTGCAGACTGCGACCGCGATTCGGCTTTTGGAGACGAAGACGACTTCTGGACTACGGATCCAATGTTTTCCTTGGGCGCGCCGGTGGCAGGGACCAAGCGTGCTGCAGACGATCTGAAAGATGATGCCGCACGAACCCGAGACCAATCAACCCCGTCTCAGCTTGAACACGGTACTCAATCTGTTGATCCAAGCTTGTGTTGCACTCATTGCCCAGAGACGTGCGACGTGCGCCCACCTAAGCGGAGGGCTTCCGCCCTGAAAGTGACTGAGTATCACGGACTCACCACCGACTCACAACCCAGTCTCGATGCCGACTGTCCGTTCCCAGACGACTGCTTCGAGAAGTTCTGTCAAGAGTGCCATCTAGAGCCCTCTTGTCCTCCACTGCCTTGCCCTGCCGACGATTGCCCCGAAGACGACGCTTGCTTCGACCCCCGGTGTAACGAGAAAAACGACCATTGCACAGACGACTGTATAGACCCTCAGTGTACAAAGGCCGCTTGTCCAGACCAGTCTTGCTTCTGTCAGAAGTGCAACGATCAACCCTTCACCCTGCCTGACTCGCATCACGAGTGTCACTTCGCCCATTCCGCTCCTACGCCCGTCGGCACTGTGTACTGTTACGACACCGCGCCTTGTCACTTTCAAGAAGGCTTCCACGGAAACGACGATGGCCTGGGGTCATTCGAGACATATCCCTGCTTCTCCCAAACTCACGGGTACAACACCATCGCCGACGACCTGACAACAATAGCGTCGAGCGCGCCAACGCCAGCGCTGTCGCACAGCAACTATACTTCGCTAGAAAGCGCCTTTACTACCGAGCCATCGCCGGGCCCTGGCCAAACAGTCTTCCCACCACACTGTTACCTCAACGTCGCTGGTGACCACTGTCACATTGACAACTCGTGCTGCCATGGACCTCAAAGAGCGTGCGGTGACGCACCATCTGCATCACAACAACAAATGGACCTTTGGAATTCGTCGATAGCACAGGGGAACGGTCTCGCGTCCAACTTTATGAACTTTGGTTTCAACCCAAGCTTACCGACAAGCCCTGTGTCGGCGGACCGCAACTCATTACACTCCTCGAATCCTTTCAGCCTAGACGCCCCAATGATGGGATTCAACGATCAGACATTCCACGATCAGTCGTGGATGCTGACGGATTCGGCGTTTCCTAACGAGTTGCAGCCAGGGGGCTCATTTGGTGCTGCCAATAAACTCGACTTCCTCGCCTCTGCGGTCCAAAGCGAGATCTTACGGCCTAATGGGACAACGTTCGCTGGTTCAAGTTCGGCATCTGCTGGTGGCGTAACCGACGCTCAGTCCTGTGTATGCAAGTGGTACGTCGGCCCGAATTGGTTCCCTGACCCTCCAAGTCACTTCTATTATCAGAACGCTAGACGGCACATCAAAACATAAGCTAATCAGAACCTTCAGGCAACATGCGCCCGGTGTCCTCTGCCTCGCTGTCTTTGACAGCCCCGAAACCCTCCACAAACACATCAAGACCGGACACGTTGACAACTGCACACACTGCTTCTGCCAGTGGGAAGGCTGTGAAGCACACTCCAAAGATTTCAAGCAACGCTCTAAGTTGTCTCGTCATCTTCTCGGCCACGCAGGCTACCGCCCATACGCTTGTAGCTATGAGGGCTGTGACAAGACGTTTGCAACCAACCAAGCCAAAGACAATCACGAGCGGACACACACAGGCGAGAGACCGTATGTATGTGACCGCTGTGGCTACACAACAACAACGCATACACAGTTGCAAACCCACATCAGTGCGCTGCACGAGGGCAAGAAGCCGCACAAATGTCGGTTCTGCGAGTTTACATGTGCTGACTCGAGTAACCTGAGCAAGCACGAGAGGACACATCAGGTAGGCCTCGATGGACTCGTCATACAATACTACGTCTTACTAACGATGCTCGCAGACTCTCCGACCGTACAGATGTCCACACCCCAACTGCACCTTCAAGCCCGACTGCCGCTGGGAGAACCTGAAGCGACACCTGCGCCGTTCAGGCCACTGCCCACAACTGCTAGTGGAAACGAGCGAAGAATACAAGTCGTACCGCGAAGGCGTTCGACGCGAGATAGACGACTGGCACAAGCGAAACGAAGATGGAGGCCTAGGAAAGGCCGGTAGGAGGAAGGGAAGATCGTAGGTGATACCATTTGATGGAGAGATTATACCGGGGGTGAGCTGTGGCGGCGGTGGTGCCTTTGGGCGACCTTTTCTTTCACACTGCAACGATGCGATGAATTGACGGACTAGCGATGAACACTCCCTTCGGGGTACTATGATGGGGGACTGATTTATGCCCTTTTGGGTCTCAGGACGAGACAGGATTAGAACGAGATGATACCTGAAACATGAACGATAATTTACCAATCATCGTTGCTTTGCTGTGCTCTTCGGGGTCTGAGTGTTCGTAGATGAGACGATGGGCGCTCACCCCTTGCGATACCAACACCACAACTCTGTCTTCTAGAACGCATCCTGTGTACTATGTGCAAGTGCAAGCATAAGAAACCGACACTGAATCGACCCAGTCCCATCTCGTCTCATCACGTGAGACATTCCAACCAGACTCTAGCTCCCAACCAGATCTGACACCCAAGCAATACTGATTCCTTCTATATCCTGTACTCACGGCAGTCACGTAAGCAAGGGATCAAACACGCGTACCTGTGGCTTGTGCGTTTGTCTTCGGAGATTTGCATTCGAGAAACGTGTTGAACGGGGGGTGTTGAACCGGGGAGGCGGGTTCGGTTGTTGGGGGGTCGGGGCAAAGGGTTTCATGCTTATGCTATAGGTGTATGCTTGGCTATAAGTGACAACGGTGCGTGTTTCGAGATGGCGTAAGATTTGGGAAAGTGCCGATAGCCAGGGTTTTGGGAAAGGAAGGGATGTGGGAAAGGGGAAAGTGATGGACGAGGGCTGGTGGATGAGGGTTTGAGAGATCATGGTTGTACTTCGGTGCTGACGTCCTAGAAACGAGGTCGTTGGGTCAACCGGACTGGGCAAAGTGACGATCTTACTAGGAGTTTGCACAGCACAAAGCATTCACTACCCGAAAAGACAACATGTCGAATATTTCGGTATTTCCCATTGCCAAACCTAGCTATCCAAAACGCAAGCAACCACCATCCACCACCATCTCCTCTCTCCTCAGCATCCAAAACAGCAAAAGCCACCCTCCACTAAACAACCACAAACCACACCCTCTCTCTCCTACCCAACAGGCGGGATATCGTAGAAATGATAATCAAGATAAAGCATTAACCCTTTGTCCTCGAGAGTAGGCTCCGGAAGCAAGAGTCATATATACAATATCGCTTCCAGCGCTCTCAACTCACTCACTCTCCACAGAAACAATCAACAGCAAGAAAGGAAAGGTTGCGCCGCATGGGATATGCGGCGGGGTATAGAACAAACGTCAATCAGCCGGGGTGGGTGGGTAGGTAGGTAGGTCAGGGTCGTATGTACCGGAGTAGATGTGTGTTTGGCGTGATTTACTGGAGGAACGTCGAAGAAGGTGTATTTTTTGTTGCGCAAAGCAAAGGCTTGCGCGACAGGGGACGGTTAAGGAGCGTATTAGACACTAGACCCGAAGGCAGTCTATGGTTCGCGCTGATCGTGACAAAGCAGAAGTATAAGTGGTCCAGCGGCCATGGCGTGTTCGAGGGTCTCAAAGGACCCCTGGAGGGGTAGAACGACGGCCGATGATCGGGGGTGTGGTGGAGGACCAAGAATCGAAGGTATCGCAAAACGGGAAGAGCAACGCGTAAATCAAACATCATCGTGGCGACATTACTATTTGGAGACAGGGTCGGAGCCGATAAGTGTACTAGACCCCAGGGAGTGGACGTCTGGTGTGCTCGAGAGTAGTGGCCGTGTTAGCGAATTGGGTGGTGCTGCGGATGCGACTCGACTTTTGCCCTTTCCATACCGCGCGTAACGTGGTGGGCGTTCTGAGGTTGGAGATGACAAGGGAGCAACTAGGGAGCGTTAACAGACCCAGGCACGGAAGGACATCTTAGGGGCTTGGAGGTATCCGGTCACCTCCACTGCCATGCCCACCAGAGTCTGTGCTGTCGCCTTCAATCGTCTTCCTCCAGTGTTGTGGCAAGCACACGCAGACCAAGGGGAAAGCCTTGATCTCGCTGTCGGATTCGACGGGTGATCGTCGGCCTCCGTTGCTTACGCCGGAGTCGCGCTGCTCGGCTTTCCGGGCTTCCCACTGCTCTGCCGATTCGGAAAGTCTTACACCTGTCGCCCAGCCGTCATCCCAGATACCGACGACCTTGAGCATATCTCCTCTTTCTAGCTCGAACTCGTCGCCGGCACGAGGTTGGTAGGCCCAGAGAGTGGCAACAGTGTCGTTCGGGTGGATATCGTCCTGGGAATAGTAGTCTTTGAAGAACTGTAGCTGCTCGGACTGGCCGGAAGCGACACCATCCGGACTGGAAAAGTTACGCGTCTGGTCAGATCCAGAGAGTGGTGAAGAGCTCGCTCCGAGAGCAGAATGGCTGGATAGAGAACCTTGTCGTTTGGGGAGGTTACCGGCGAGATGGCCACGTATCGACTCGGGTGAATCATAGGCACCGAGTTGTGAGCCACCGTATGCGGTCATACGGCCGCCTCGATCGCTGTTCTGACCCGAGGACTCTGATCCTTCCAAAGCCGACATACGCTGAACACGCGCACCGGGGAGAATAGTAGCGGGAGATTGGCCGTCGCCACCGTAGCTCATAGGTGGCATGGGTCCCTTGGGAGAGTGGCGTCGCGATGGCGATGGCGTGTTGAAGACGCTTCCAGCCTGGCTATTCTTCTTGTGCCGCATGCGCATGCAGCAGAAGATGGCGGCTGCGATGATCACCGCAGCGCCGACAAGTGATCCAATAACGATACCAGCGATAGCGCCGCCAGAAAGACCAGAATCACCTCCACCAGATCCGGCGCCGGCTGTGGAGCTTGGGGAAGAGGACGAAGTGCTTGAGGGGAACACTGGAGGCATCGAGACGGTTGTAGGCAGGTCAATGCCTACGCAGCGCGATTCGACGTTTGCGTTGACGCAGCAAGAGTCCGTAGAGTTGACGGTGCTAGTGGAACAGAAGAGGCAGAGTCCTTGTAGGTTGCCATTGTATCCACATTCGCTGGGCTCGTTTTCGGTCGCGTCGATACAGCTGCTGCTGAGAGAGTTGGCAGGGTTGGAGCAGCGAGCGAAATCAGAGCGGATTTCCGGGACTGCATTGTTACCAGGCGTACCGCACAGATCCGGGCTTGATACGATGACCTGTTCGCTGATGGCAAAATCGGCCTGAGATGGTCAGCATTTCGACGCGGTATGGGACGACAAAGACGGTCTACATACGCAGGCACCAGCACAAAGTGGAGTCGCTTCCGTGTCGCCGAGTCCGCAGCTGTTCCTGGAGGATTGGATGATGGCGTTACAAAGGACAGTCGTTGTGTAACGAGCATAGAGGTTGGTGGTGCTAGTAAGGTTGACGCTTGAGCATCCCAATATATTCTCGTACCTGGGATGCGTTAGTTTTTCTGGTGCATATGAACAGTCGCGTGGTACGACTTGAACTAGACTGACTGTCGCTGTGCATATCCGGTACCGATATAATTCTTCAAGCCCTCGTCGAACGACTGGGTGTCTGACACGTATTGGAGAAATGGACTATGCGCGTTCACTGTTAGCCAACACTCTGTCTATCAAAACACATTTGACGTACAAGTTCCCCGTCAAGTTGGTGTCGACAGAGGCGGAGGAAAAGGCCGGGCAGGCGGTTGAGCCCTGAAGCGACACGCAACTCCGTTGAGCCATTGCGGACGGTATCGATGCGGCGACGACAGCGAAGACGGCAGCCCTTTTTATTCCAGAGCGGGATTGCTTTTGGGAACAGGAGGTAGTAGTTGGGCGACGATAAGGTTCGGAGAGAATCATAGCGCCAACATGGTCGCAGCACTGGCACGGGCGCATGCTGAGTATATCTGTACGCGTAGAAGCTGTATGGCTTGTCGATAGATCCAATCCTAGGAAGTGGCCGTGGTGGAGTAGGGTAATCGACGATGGCGGGCCAGTAGGAGACGCGCAGCTTCACGAGTCCATTCGCGACATGTAGATAGGCCTCGGGGATGGGGTATATCTATGTAGGTGTCGAGATGGCGATGCAAGAGTATTAGAAAATAGAGACCGTATCGGTGGGGTGCCGGTCTAAGAAGGGAAGGAGAGGGCCTGGCTCGCAGTGGCAGAAAGAGCGTACTGGGTAGGGAAGCTGCGATGGGCCTCTACAGTGGAGAGAGGAAGGCACGCTTGAGCCTTGGGGGATGGTCAACACGCACGAACAGCGAGGCTACCGCGTCGGCTAGCTCCTGCTTCGGCGTCAGGGATCAGGGGTCCGGTCGTTCTTTCTGTGCGCGGTGATTGGGCTGACCCTGCCGAGGGGAAATGAGATGTACCTGGCCTAAAATTATCCTCCGATGCTTTTCGTCTCAGGTGCCTGGCGACGGATTGCGACTCCAGCTGGTCGAGTGATTAGGTATAAGACGGTTGTTTATACGACCTCGACAACGACCCACCGCATGCCCACCGTGTGCAACCTCTCTCGACGGCAGCCCGCAGCGCTCCACGCTGACCCGCAGTCATCTGCAGCACAATGCAGCAAGACGCATGCGGCATAGCGTCTGCCTGCACACACTAACAGTTGAACCGACCTGCTGGATTAGTCCGCTGTTTCAATATACAAATACTACTGTCCACCGCGCAACCGGTCCGCTGCGGATGGCATTGTTGTGTTGCAGCGCATAACGTCGAGCCTGTGCCTGAGACCGTCCGCCCTCAGCACAACCACGTCGCTTCGTCTCACGACGCTCCCCGCAATTGTGGACGCCTATGCGACGTGGCCATGCGCTGTTCGAACTGCGCATGGGGCTTGCGGAGCCTCCAGCCTCGTCGTTAGCAGCGTCCATCGTTCTGTTTACTGTGCGTGCTGCGTAGCTTTCTGCAGCGCCCGTTGACCCTCGGCCCTTTCCTACTGTAGACTAGCTAACGGCCCGCTCCCTGAACCAGAACCATTGTTTACTCTGAGCCTGCGACGATCCGCCCTGATCTGCATCACCAGCCATATCCACCACATCTACGGTGGATTCGAGTTCCCTAGCATGTGTTGCGTCACTATCACACCTAGTACGCCGCAGCGGACCACTACCGATGACTGACGTCTGTGTCACGATGCACTCACGCCGCATCACCATTACATGCACTACCTGTCCAACTCTGGTCCCCAGCCTTCTTTGACTCCAGAGTCGAAGATCAATCTGGCTCGTTATTGGGATCATCTCTCAAAACTCTCTGTGATCTACGCCATCAAGATCCAAGCGTCCGGCCATCCTCTCCACCGTCAATCAGCCACGTCCCAAGACTTTCCCCAGCATTCAGAGCACCAGTCACCATGGACTCCTTGTCCTCAGTCACTATGCAAGCTTTTGCGGCGTCATCACGTCCACAGTTCTCAGGCACGGAGCATCTGACACTGCTTGTTTTAACTTTGCGTCTTGCGGGGATGTGGTCAATGCGACTCAGGCAAACCTGACTTCCGGATTGAAGTCTATCTTGGACTACTATACTCGTTGCTCAAGACGTCGCTAATCGTTTTTAGTCTTGTGCAACATCAACACCTTCCTAGGTATAGAACGCCTATCCATGTCGGAAAAGAATATCGCCGTGAACTCTCGCCAAGATATACCAACTTACGCAAGCACCCAAGCCGCCTAGAACTGGTTCGATTGATCACCAAAGTCAATGCAGCTCTGCTTGAGCGTCTCTTTGATCATCCACGCAGTCCACGGCTCTTCAACGGGCACTAAAACTTTACCTACGGTGGCTCCCTTCTGACCTGCCTTACGCGCCGAGGTGAATAGGGCATGCCTGTTTACCTGAACTTGGATGTTATAGCACTTGGGCGGACCAGTCGTTAACTATGTATTATGATCAGTATGGGTGGACGAAGACGATAGTGCAAAAAAACATTACTTACATCCTGCATGTCCAGTCTGTAGTTGTCGTCCTCGTAGAGGGTCTTCTGGATAGATGGCAAACCGCCCTCGAGCTTATGGTCCGGGATGCCGTCGATGAAGGCGAGGAGAGCTTTGCGGAACTTCTTACCCATACTGATGCTTACTTATAGGATGGACTGTATGGGCCTATGGTTGTAATCCTTTGAGTTGGCGGTGGAATGTGTGCTCGATGAGGTGTGTCCGCTCCATGGCTGTTGGTCTTGATATCTGTCTGGCAGTGTGAAGGTACATGGGACACTCTAGTCGCGCTGACATTGTCATCAGTGCAGCGTGAAGCTATTCAACACCACCGTGTGCGTTCACTTTTGATGCCCTAAACAGCTTATCACTGACTCGCCGTGCGCAAACAGGGCAGGTGAAAGCGACGAACACTTTCTTTGTTTGCTTGTTACTACGCCTCCTCACTTTTACCCTCTTAACATCAACACCACACCACGGTCACCAAACTCACATCCCATTATCATGGATTCAGCGCCAACTGTACCTCGCAATATTGAACAACCAGGCCTATGCTGGAAGCCAGGTCTCTTCGGCGCGAGACCAACATGGACTAAAGAGCCATCCATTGACAAGGCCACAGAGCTGGCGCGAAAACATTTAGACTTGCCACAAGATGAGCTTATTGAGCTGAAGCCCTTCGCCGAAGGCGCCTTCAATAAACTATACGAGATTGCCTGCTCCAAAGGTCAATTCTTCTTTCGTGTCACGCTACCTGTAGCACCAAAAGTCAAGACCAGTAGCGAGGTCGCTACTTTAGGCTTCCTCGGCCAGAAGACCAACATTCCAGTCCCTGAGATTGCTGCACACAGCGAGAATCTTGAAGATGTCCTGGGCTTTGAATGGATACTTATGGAGCGTATGCCAGGCCGTCCACTCCGAGAAGTATGGCATGAGATGTCCTGGCTTCACAAAGAGCTTCTGGTCCAACAAATAGTAAAATTCATGGTCCAGCTATACCATTTGAAGCTCTCTGGTATAGGCAGTCTTTACTTCAATCGGTCGCCTACCATCAGCGGACGCAGCACACACTATACAGTCGGAGAGGCAGTCACACAAGCTTTCTTCATAGACGATCACATCCAGCAGCCCATCTACCGCGGCCGGTTCGCAAGCAGCCAAAGCTTCGTGGACGCTCACATGGCCTTCCTGCAGCACGACATCACCAAGCTTCAACATGCAGAAGACTCCGATAGCTACGACTCTGACGACGAAGAACAAGCCGAAGGCATGTCAGAGATCTACACCAAACTCGAAAAGGTGATTCCAAAGGTTTTCACAACACCAGCGGAGGAGCACAAACATGAAGAGTCGATACTATTCAACGGCGACATATCCCTGAATAACATCCTCGTCTCCTCTTCCGGCAGTCTAGTCGGCATTGTAGACTGGGAATGCACAACCACAGTACCGCCTTGGTACGCCTGTCAAATCCCCCAGTTCCTCGACGGTCTCCTACCCACATCCACAACATCCCAGCCCCAACCACCTCTACCCCTCACCCCCGAAGCACTCGCCGACAAAGACGCCGTACAGTTCCACAACGAACAGCTTCAATGCTACGAGCTCACCTGTCTACGCACCTTCTTCGTTGAAGAGATGCGTAGACAGTGTCCGGAGTGGTTGGTGCACAGGAAGGATGGGGCAAAGAAGAGGGATGTGTTGATTGCGATTGAAGAGTGTGGGGATGATAGCCAGTGGACGTTGATTAATGGGTGGTTGGATGCGGTGTTGGACGGGAGAGAGCCGAAGAAGGGGTTGTTGGAGGCGATGTGGACGCCTGTTGGCGAGTAGGTTGGAGTATTGGAGCTGAACAGGCCTTACGGCTGCAAATGCGAAGTATGGGACTGCCCTTCCGAGGAGAAATATGCAGGCGGCATTAGTACTTCTAATTCTGCCCAAGCCTTTGTCGTATGTCTATAATGTCTTTCGTATCTTTAGTTTTGTAAGCTCTATATTGTCACGCAACAAAATATGACTGGGTATCATTGAACTCGCTCGTCCACCTCGTCTTTACGCATCTTCTCCTTGTCCAAGTATATCTTCCAAGATCCATCAACCCATATCCCAACCAAAACACTCTCTCAAAAGAACTTGACACCCTCGCCTTCACCCCCCGACCCAAAGACCTGCGCCCTCCCCCTCTTAACACAAACCCCCAAACTCCTCTGCAACAACTCCAAATCCATGCCAAAGAACTCCTCCCGCCGACTCGCATCCCCCTCGACAATCTCATACAGCGTAAGCACCGTACCCTTCTGCCCCGTCCTCTCAACCCACTCCTCCAACGCCGCAGCCCACTCCTCCGGCCTCCGCCAATATATCCACGCCTTGCCACCCTCGCTCTCTTCCCCCGCCTTCGCCTTCTTCGAGGAACTCGTGTTGATGAACTCGGCGCGGTTGCCGCCTTCGGGGGAGGCCATGTAGGTTATGATGGCTTTTGCGTCGCGCAGGGAGAGGCTGCGTCGCAGCGTGGTGTTTGTGAAGAGCGGGGTGGGGAGCGCGTCGATGAGGGAGAGGGTGAAGATGCGGTTGTGGCGGCAGTAGGATTGGATGAGCGTGGACCAGGAGGCTAGTTGGGAGGAGCGTGTGCTGGCGACGGGTTGGAGGGTGAAGAAGGGCGGGAAGGAGTAGTGTGGTGGGAAGACGAAGTTGGGGGACGTGAGCGTTGGGGCTGTCGAGGGTGTGGGCGTGGGTGTTGAGGCGGGGGCGGGGGATATTGCTGCCATCTTTTAGGCGGGGTTGGTAGAAGATTGAAAGGGGAAGTGGGAGGAGTGAGCTTGTGTAACGGTTGCGCGTGGGGAGGGTTGATCGTTTGGTGCGCGCGTCACTGGAGGTCTGCGGGGACTTTGCGACGTCATTGGTTGCTTGGCTTGGGCACCTTTCATCTGCATGATGGGCACAACTGCACAAAGCAGAACCTAATGCACGCCTACTATGAGTCTACTTTCTGAACATCTAATGCTTATCCTATCGATTTGCTATGATTGGTGAATAGGTTAACGTTTCGCGACTTGCCTATTCGATCCTGTCTTACATCGATCGCGTCTTGTCGAAGAGAAGTATGCATCACGTTGCTTATCTCGACTCGCCATGCTAATTTACTCGTATTCCATCCTACTGACTGATATTGTTCTATTCTAGACAACTCTGATGTCACCTACAGAGGTGATCGCGCTTACGAAAGCCATCCCGAGCCACAATCAAATCAGGAGCTCATCAAGAACGAGCATTCTGGTATCGCATTCCTCTCATAGAGCATTACCGAAACAGTCGTTGCAGATGAGGGAAAGCTCTCCAGAAAACTTCCGTGTGTCTGCCTCGGTGTGCTGCAGCTGATCACGGAAAGCTTTCACGAACTGGCCGACAGTGACATCTTTCCCATTCTCGCCGGTGAGCTCGTACTTGCGGCCTGTGTTCCTGTAAGCCCTATATTTGAACAAAACATCGATTCTCTGAAGACCTGGCTCAAACAAGAGCTGGTCTATCCAATCACCGTCGTTAGCCCCGGAGTTATCCTTGCTGTCTTCCAGCAGAGCTCGCAGGTGTTGGAAAGATTCAAATTCGAACCAAGGTCGTGGTTTGCCAGCGTTTCGTAGACTTACTTGGTCGAATAAGCGTTCGTCGACGTGGTGCATGCACCGCTCCATATTTTCAATAATCCCATGGAACTCGGTGCCACGAGGAATCTCGACGAGATGGAAGGGGTTTGTTTCCATTTCGTTGAAGTTAACTTCTAGGACTATCACAGTCCGGGGGAAAGAGTCGGAGAGGCTTTGGACTCTGATCTCCGTTCTGAGATTCACTTTGATTGTGGCAATATCGCTGTCATCATCATCGCTGTCGGTACTCGCGTCGTCCATGTTGTCGTTCTTCTTCTCGTTCTCGTTGCCATCGTTGTCGTCATCTGAATCAGCTTCATTCTAGAGTATCTTGGGAGGGGCGTCTGGGACTGCGCTCCCAGTCGGTATGCCTGTATTGGTCTTCTCGGTGTTGTCTTTTGTACTGCCCTGCATGTTGTGTGGTATCTCCGGCGGTGTAGTCACTTGTGAGAATGGATCGAGATTGATGATAGGAGGGATAGCGACACTCGGGTGCTAGACTTTATACTGCGCCGGGGGTCACGTTCATCGAGTGGCATGTGTGTGAGACAATTATACATGGCCACCAAGATACATTGCTAATGTCTTCGTGGTTTGACCTAGTTCCAGTGTCACAGAACCAGGTGGATCAAGACAGTTTCACGCACCAGTTCAGATAGTGAAGCAACTGTACCAGAGGTCTCCTCATTTCCTAGACTCGTTCTATCTTCTGACGTCCCAAATCATGCTATCCTGTTCAAACTCAATCCTCATGATTCTTCTCCCAGTATTCACTGCAGTAGGTCAACATCTCCTGCGGAAATCCGCGTACGTCCTCTTCGATATGTTCCAACTGGTCGCGGAAAGCCCTCACAAACTGACCCATAGTAACTCCGCATCCGCTCTCTCCAAGAAGCGTATAGTTGCGACGAGATTCATAATACGTATAGTCGAAGACCACGTTGATGCGCCGCTGAGCTGGCACATACAACAGCATGTCTTTCCATGAGCCCTCGTTTCTGCGCGACTGTCTTCGCATCTTTTCTAACACGTTATCCAGAGAATCAAATGAATCGACACTGAAGTGTGGATATGGCTCTCCTTCGGTTGTCAGAAACACCTCATCGACGAGCGGCAAGCGACGGTCCAGATCTAGAAGAATCGGATGGAATGTCGTGCCGGAGGGAAAATTGGATAGGCGATCAAACTTTCCATCCTCTTCTCCTAAAGTCAGGAGCATCCCCCTCGTCGCGCGACGGAATCCGATGCACCCCGTGATTGACCTCTGGTTCTAAAACAATAGTCAGCTGTTACCTGAGTTCAAAGACTTCGGTGGCGTCTTGCCGGCGTGGAAACAATGTAGATGTGGCGGAAGCTCAGAGTACTGTCATGGATACCATTATTCGTGAAGCTCAAACATGTACAAGTTGTAGTCCAAAACACTCCGACATTGTGTACGAAGCCGATGAATCCCAAAGCCAGTCCCACACTTTTGAAGATCCTGAGCGCCGTAAGAATATGTGCAGAAGTCCAGTCTTGCACCAAGTCATGCGGTTCGATCCTCGGAACCGCAGCCATTATGTTGACAAGTATCCAACTCCCGTCCCCTCATACACACATCCCCACCCATTGTCTCCACGCCCTCTTCACCGCCACCCCTTCCTCTTCTGCTGCTGCTGCGCACTAGCCTTCATCCTAATCTGATCCTCCTTCTGCTGCTGAAATCCCTTAACCTCCTGGCTATAAACCTCATACTGACCCAGCCAGTACTCGCCCAAGCCCTGCACATCCTCGACAAAGCCCTCGGGCCCTCTGTTGTACACCCAGAAGCCCACGACGAGTATCCCGCCCCAGAAGACCAGTCGCAACGCCAGGTTCACCCAGAAGATGACGGCCCGGTACATCATGTCCAGTATCTTGAGCGAGATGAAGAATATGGCCAGCAGCGCGAGGATGGAGGCGACATCGGGTTGGGTGATGAGTTTGTTGAGGAGGGGTGAGAGGTGCGTTGACAGCGTGCGCGAGATGCCGAAGAAGGTTGTGAGGAGGTGGAGGAGGGGGTTTGCGAAGGACGGTGGGAGGAGGCGCGGGAGGAGAGCTGCGTAGTCTGGTATCTGGTGTTAGCAACCCGTGTCGCAATACAGTGATAGGACGATAGGCGCATCAGCGAAGCATACCTTGTATAAACTCCATATTGGGCGATTTGCGATTGGACGTGTAGAAGTCGTGTGCCAGACGCGATAGAACGCGTTTGTGGGGTGCGGATAACGAGATTCGCGCTTGCGACTGATCTGCGCGCGGATAGTGGCTGGTGGATGAAATGGGGCGACGCGAATTATGGGCTTGAGAAACGAGCACGCGATGGGGGTTATTGGGGTGTGGCTGATAATTTGCTTGTTTTGCCCACACGGTTTGCGGTGACAGCTGTCCACGTTGAGTCGTTGACCCACTAAAACGCTTTCACGCACGCCGTGCAGCTCAACACACCTTATCCTGGCTGCACGTCATCCGCTCGGTTCGCTTGGCTTAGTCATCCACATATCTGTGCAGCGAGAAGAAAGTGAGCAAATGCCTGTAGACTCAGCCGACGACAACAGTATACGATGCAAAATTTGAGCCACAGAAGAGTAATGTAGACCTCCAAGTTACTTGCTTCTTATCATAGTACCCGCGCAGGCATCTAGCTTGTCGCTTAGATGAGTTGCATCTCCCTTACCAAAACCCACCCATGATGTGCGCAAAAGCAACTGACACCGAAGATCCCTTACTCCACCACCCTGCGTCTTACATTTCAGCCCCCAAGAGTCCAGTATCACCACCTTCACCATCTCGCGGGGTTCACCCAGCCAGATAATGCGGTGTACTTTTCGAGCGCGGGAAGCGCGATCGCGCATGAATCGCGTCCCGCTCGCTTTTCGATAGTCGAAGTGGAGTGGAGTGGAGATGGCGGCCGAGCAGAGTTTCAGATCGCGTATAGCAACATTCTGGGGTCTTGGAACTGGCGGTGTAGACCACGTTTTTTTCCTTTGGCACAGGCACAGATGAGGCGTTTGCACGGCTAAGGGGTCGGCGTCGGCAGTCGTGGGTGGGAACGGTCGGGGCCGAGTTGCCGCTTGGGCTGATGTCGTGATGCGTGGTGCGTGATGTCTTGCAGGGCAGGGCGTATTGCGCAATGGGAGGGAGATCACTGCAGTAGGAAGTGAAGGATCATGTGCTAATGAGTTTGTTCATTGATATGGGTACAGAGGACTAGCCTCTCGCAGTGCTACAACTGCAAACCCGACTATGTGGTTGGCTATACTACTGAATTGCATTCTCGTGCGATCTTCGGCACTGAGTGGCTCATCCTCCAACAAAAAGAAACAAAGAGGCTCGAGGCCTGTGTAGTGACTCAAAGGTCTGGTATCATAGATGCAAAGCGCCGCCGAACTCCAAATGACAAAATCATGTCCAATCGTAAAGTATGTATGCGAAGCGAAGGTCGTAAAGGTGAAGTGTTGACTGGGTATCGCGACAGCCCCGATGCTTGTACAGCAGCAAGCGGTGCGTGGTGACGCAAGAAGCAGTCAGGTGTGTTTCAGTCGCTTCGAGTGCTTTCGGCAGGCTGCAGGTATTACAGAGATCACTGCAAGCCGTAATGTTCGAGGTGCGAAGATGGCTGGAATGTTGAAGTGACACTGGCGTTCATATCCAGCGTCCAGCGCCCTTTTGTTGAGTGCCGTACTCTGATTCGAAGTTGAAGCGGAAAGCAGAAGTTTCTGATGGTGATGGGTAATGTATTAGAGGCTGGGATCGATGTGAAGATGTGGAGCCCCGGTTGAATTCACCGCTTGGAGAGTTCGGAGAATAGGGTGTTGGGGGTCGGTCGGCAATAGACGAAGCAACACTGGACTTCCTCCGTACACGCTCGGGCTTTCGTATCGAGCTGGTGGGTGACTTTAGTGAAGCCATGTCGGTTAATGATGGTGTCCTTGGAGGGAACTCGTATGTGCTAAGCTCTTTCTCGAACATGGAAGTGGCTCTGGGTGATACATGTTCGCGTAAGACAGCTGGTCGGATGCCGTACTTCTCCGGTCGTTGGGTGTATTGGCTGGGCCGTCTCCACGATTCAAATTCGGCATCGTCTAGTGGTGTGACAGCTCGCAGAGAGAAGCCTCGCATCCTTCTTTGAGATCGTTTCCAGCAGAAGAGAAGGGCGACGGCAACCGCCGTCAGGACGAGGATGCCTACGACGGCACCAAGGATGATCCAGACTTTCGTTTCTTGCTCCATAGTTGTAACGAGGGTGTGTATGTGAGTGTGAGAGTTGAATGGGACTGCTTTCGTTTAATGGTAAAACTTTGTCGCGATCGTCTTTGTTGAAGGCGTGATGGTGTATTGGAAGGAAGATCCAAAAAGAAGATATGAAGGAGTGATGTCGATCAGGTCACGACCATGCTGGCTGTGGCTGCGGTTGATGCGGCTACACCTGAGAGGTGGCGGTCGACGAAACGATGGTAGGTACCTTGAGCCCACTTCTGTCTGATATGAACCTTGGAGGGCGATGCGGATAAAGTAGTGCGGGAAGGCGGAGGGGCTCGAGAGCGGAGACCTGGGTCATGCGTGTACCCTCGCTCCACAACCGCAGTAGGCAATGACGGTATGCTATTAGCGCCACGAAACGAGGCAGCACAAAGAACAGTCCTTCGGTAAAAGCCAACGACGGCGCACCGAGAGAGAGGAGCGTTGCGGGTTATAGACACCGGACTAGCTTGGCTTGAGGCGAGATGCAGGTACAAAAGCGTACCTGATGGTGGGTTGCGAAGTTTGTTAGTACGGCAGACTCAAGCAAATATCGGTGAGCAGTGCACTAAGAGCAATCCATGATGGGCTAATTTCGACAACCTTGGAACGACACCCCGCCGTTGAAGATGGCGCAAGTCCCAGGATAGGCAATTCCACCGTGCCTGCTGCAGGGGCCTGACACTCCCGTCCAGTATATGCCATCCCAAAGCCGTGAAGCGGGCAACGTGGCGTCGTCGAGGTCAGCACGATGTTGGTCTTTGACAGCACATCATGACCTCAGAACGAATCCAGGGGCAGAAGTCGCATCAGCCTCAGCAACCTGACACCGAGGGCTTGATAGCAGATGCGACAGCACACCCGTTCGTCGTTGCCGTGCAGCTCTACCCCGGAAAAAACTTTTTTTTTCTTCTTGATTCTCCTTGCATCGCTAGAGGGCGGAGTACGAATGAGACAAGCAAACGCTCAGTACGCCTGAAGGGGCGTGTGTCGGTCGGAAACTTCGCTTGAGCAGGGCGCTGACACGACGTCGATCTATCAAACCACACTAACGGTCTTGGGTATCGCTCCCATTCCAGGCACTGGCCAATCCCGTGTCGGGCTTTAGGTGCGTCCCGCGATAGCTTCCCCTCAAGGTTCTTTATCTTAGCCCTTGACGGAGCGCATCCAGATCCTGCTGGTGTGCGTTCCGTTCCCAAGCCCATTGCAGCTGCGGCTTGTCACCAGCCTCGACTCGCTTCTGCCGAAATCAAGTTTCCAAGTTTCGACGCCGAGATCTGGAGCGCGAGCGATACAGACAGCTACTGGTCGATATAACGAATGGGTTATAGACTAGAAGCCGAGCGTTCCTGACTATCGCAATACCTGGCACTGAGGGCCTGCCATGCAGCAAACCGGGCCACATAGCGCAAACTGCGCCGACAGTGTCCCCTGCACGAACGGTTGCTTGGTCGCCAGCGTGCCAGGTCATTCATTGCTGATAATCTCCGATGCTTCATCGCGGGGCCGTTTTGTCGACCGCCAATAGCGCTTGAGAGCCTTCACCGGACCTTCTTGAAACACAGCAAATCTGGTCGACTCTGGTTGAGCAACGAGTCCAACGCC